TCTGCAATACATTTAGTTCAAGGGTAATTATTTAGTTTTCTAATTATTACCCACTATAAGTGTGTTCTATCCACAAGTGGGTGAATCTGTACTTTTTCTATTTGGTTACACACACACATGAGACACACATTCATACAAAGACACATACATACACACATACAGACAGACAGACACACACACACACACACACACACAAGACACATACATACATAAAACAGACAGGCACATACAAACAGACACACACAGAAACACATACATACAAAGACACATACATACAGACTGATAGACAGACACATACAGGCACACACACACACACACACACACACAAGACATACATATAAAGACACATACATACAAACAGACAGGCACACATACATACAGACAGATAGACACAGACACATACATACAAACACACACACACATAATATTTAAGTCATCTTCCTGTTTCCTACCTTTTAGGTGCAGGAGGGTGACTTTCCCTGGGGTCCAGTGGTGGCTCAGGTTAATGGGAGTCAGAGTTCCCACTTTGACTTCCTGTTCTTCCTCCCGCGCGGGCTCTGTGTGTTAGCTGGGAGGAGTGCCGTGCAAGTCACTTCCTCCCAGCGTTGATGATCTCATCACAGGGGGCCTGGTCACGCTGTTAAAGCGCCCAGCGCTAACCGGGCCTCCTGACAATCCATCTTCATCGTTTGGCCCTGACAGCATGGGCCACCCGATGGGCACCTTAACATGCGGCTCCGGTGGTTTGCCGTGCGGACCTGGGCCGTAAATGATGATGGCGGGCACCCGGTCGCAGAGGTCAAGAGGGGTCGAGAGGCAATAGAGACATAACATTACTCAAGCGAGAAGCCTTGTGGATACATACCCTGGGGACAATGTCTCCACATGGACTCAATGAAAATAACTCCTTATATTGCTTTTTACAAAGAAGCTGAAGCTGTGTATATATGACCATTCTGACTTATGTTTATAATGTTTGTATCATAGTGGGGCTACACATTGTATTCTCAGTATAAATAACTCGTAGATTTGTTTGTTCCCTCACTATCCTATTAGAGAGCTATCTAACGTATATATTTCTGTCACTTGAGTATTTACATTACCTTTCTTTCCTTCTGCTGTATCAGTTCTGCACTAAGATACATTGTATCAACAGTACTAATATGTACATCGTAGCTTTTTCCTCCTACTACTGTTAGATACAGGCACAGTGAATTGATAGCATGTACACCATAACCCTCTCCTCTTTTATTCTCAAATACTTTTTCTATTGTTAATAACCTGTAAATATTGTACCTATATCCTTTGCCTTCTTTCTCAACCTGACAGGGTTAACACAATCACGCATGTAAATTACCGCACATAACGTCCCTACTGACGTCACACAATCTCGTTTCCATTTTTCTTCACTCTCCAATCAGATGCTTTTTGTGTGTGTATATAACCGTCACGAGCTCACATTGTAAATTGTCTTGAAAAAAGTCTGGATAGACTGAAACATCGACTATCTTGTATATCACTGTATTTGCTTAATAAAGCAGCAGTTAAGATTGATTCTACAAGACTCCAGAGTGCTCTCTACTAGAACTATATACTTTGGTTGGAGATTGTGCACCGGAGCACAAAAAGACTGGGAACATCGAGTGCTGGGACCGGGCAATATATATATATATTCACAAACACACACACATTTACTTCCTATATATGTATAATATATTATAAAATAATGAAAGCATTTTATAATATATTATACATATATATGATTACTTTGTAAGTGTATTTTGAGATATATGTGCATATATCTCAAAGTACACATATAATGAAATCATATATATGCATTATATATGTATAATATATTATAAAATGCTTCAATTTTTTTATAATATATTATACATATTTAATATATGTACAATAGTGATGTCCCGAACGGTTCGCCGAACGGTTCGCCACAGACGGCGAACATAAACATAAACTTTGAACCTGTACCTCACAGTCAGCAGACACATTCCAGCCAATCAGCAGCAGACCCTCCCTCCCAGACCCTCCCACCTCCTGGACAGCTCACTAAGAATGCAGCTTCACAATAAATGTAAAATGGATGCTGTCCAGGAGGTGGGAGGGTCTGGGAGGGAGGGTCTGCTGCTGATTGGCTGGAATGTGTCTGCTGACTGTGAGGTACAGGGTCAAAGTTTATGTTCGCCGTCCGCGGCGAACCGTTCGACGAACCGTTCGGGACATCACTAATGTACAATATATATATATATATATATATATATATATATATATATATATTATTATTATTTTTTTTTTACCATTTTAGGAGTCAGGGGGACAGCTCAGACAGTCCCCCTGCTGGCAGCTCCATAGACTCACGGTGAGTCAGATGGCCTTGGAGTGCCGCGGTGGCCGAAGCTGCTACAGGGGGACTGCTGGGGTCTCGGGCAGTCCTTCCCACCCCCGATCCGGGACCGCCACGGGTCGCCAGTCCAGGTAAGTCCAGGGCTCCTATTTGCCACTGAGTATGGTATTTCCGAGGTTGTTTACGACCGTTTTTGTCGGACTGAGAAAAGGCAGTGTTTACATTGTTGTCTAACACCACTTCTAGTGGCTATCACTCTGACATTCTGGACTAGGTCCTGCAAACAATGCAGGACTGAGGATTGACGTTTTCATGCTCTGCATGGAGACACCAAATGTTCCCCAAACAGTGATGGCTGTGTGAGTTTTAAGATGGCTGTTCCAGGTTTTCTCCCTGGCATATATATATATATATATATATGTACTTCTAGCCAGGCATTAAAAACAGTACTATAACTATTACAGAATTAAAGAGATTTTTAAAATGTATTTTAACATACACATATGTTAACCTTACCATGTTTTATAGGTACCTCCTGAAAAAATCTTAGGTGGTCTTAAATGACTGCAAATAAATTGTGAAAAAAAATGTTTTCAACATGAAAACTGGTGGGGCACTGCCACAACTGCCCTTATGGAAGAGCCTCCACTGCACCCCATAGAGATGCATTGAGTTAATGCATCTCTATAAGAAGATACTGACTAGTACAGTGAGGAAGAGGCAGCTCTCTAATTAGGCGGTTTAGGTGGCTGAGAGCTCTGGGGAAAGTGGTCTCTCGCCAGCGCCGCCCGACCGCGCACCTGCCTGGACTGTTAGCCGCTAGGCTAATAAGGCATTTGCCCTGGAAATTGCCGCCCAAGGCAAATGCCTTGTTTGCCTTGCGGCTAATAAGTCCCTGTTCACCCCCCTCACATCGCCCTCCTCCCTCACCATCACCCCCCTCTCTCTCAATATCACCCTCCCTCTCACATCACCCCCCTCTCAATCACCCCCCTCCCTCATCATTACCCCCCACCTCTCAATATCACCCCACTCTCCCTCATCATCTCACTCTCATCACTCTCACCATCACCCCCTCTCAATATCACCCAGCTCACCATCACCATCACCTCCCCTCCCTCCCTCACCATCACACCATCACACTGTTGTTAACCCCCCACACTGTTAGCCACTTCATGCATCCACATCTCACCATCACCCCCCTCTCCCTCTCCCTCTCATCATCACCCAACCCTCACACCATCACCTACAGGATCACCACACCCCCCCACACACAGTATCACCCCCCTTACACACACAGCCTCCCCAGACACACTGTTAGCATCACCTCACACTGTCACCTCCCCACACATTGTCACCCCTGCCTACACTGTTGTTAACCCCCCACACTGTTAGCCACTTCATGCATCCACACTCACATTAACCTCTCCTAATCCTGTTAACTTCACCCCCTCCAAACTCACCTGCTCTTACTCTGCCACACTCCCCCTGTCACATTAACCTCCCCTAATCCTGTCACACTCGTCCCTTCTACCATGCCACAATTGCCGTGACACACTTACCTCCACTCGCCCTGTCACACTTCATCATCAAAACCATGTCATACTTGCTCAATCTCTCTCACACCCCCCCGCCCCCCAACCCTCTGCCTTTACCCCCTTTCGCCCTGTCACACTCTCCCTGCCACTGGTACCCCTTTACTCACCTTGACAGAGTCACCAGCTGAAGACATTCATCATACACACACAATCACACACATCAAGCAGCTACCCCATACACATACTGTCCCAGATAAAAACGCAAACATGCTCACAGAGACATACATTCACACACACAAGGATACTTTCTGTCAGACAAACTCTCAGGCACATACAAAGGTAAACAGTGCATCAATGTGTATATGTGACAGTGTGCATGTATTGCAACTCTATTTTTTTTACTTTGGTGTTAGTGGGGCCTCATATTTGAGTTTCGCCTAAGGCCTCATAAAGTCTAGAGCCGCCTCTGCAGTGAGGCGCATGCTCAGTAGCCTTCCACTATTCCTATTTGGAAGCAATGGATTGTCTGAGAACATTGATGACCACAACCACTGGCGGCAGGGCAGCAGCGAGACAAGCATGCCGGGTGAATAAAGGTAAGTCAATCTATTTATTTACTTGTAGATGTGCCCAATAATTCAAACAATTATTAAACCACTCTACTGTTAGGAATAATACTAGAGTGTTGCTGTAATAATAAAATATGTAAATGTGTTTAAGTGGTATACATAATGTTTGTTCATATATTATGTCTGGAGAAGAGATCTGCGTCATTTTAGAAACTTGAACTATTTACATATGGCAATCAGAAGTGGACATCTTAAGCTAATGCCTCCTGGAAAGTACCTCTCTGCACGCAACTTGTACTAAATTAGAATGTAAGTGACTTTTTAAAGAAAATTGTTATCACTTTCTGTTTTTACTGAAAATAAAAGATTACAAATAGCTTCACGGGTCAACATAACCGCGCTCTGTTTAATTGGTATATATTCAACACTCTTAAACAATAATTTGAATCAATCTACTACAGAGAGAAGGTTGTAAAATGGATTCTGATGCTCATCTCGGTAGAACGTCCAGATTACTCATTGCAATTTATCTAACAGCATCACTAGAAATAAAGCAGAAAATGAACAGTGGACTTTTTAATAAAAAAAAAAAATTGTCGAAAAAGAAACTGATTCACCAGGTAAAGTGCTAATTTCAAACATTATATATATATAGTTGATCACGGTAGCAGCCACAAATGTACATTCAGCAGACTGTAAAGTTTCCATCAGTATTCAGTTCTAAGCCAGAGTGCGGGCAAATACTGGGTATTCGCATGATAGATACACTCAAGACTCTATTTGTTTATATGAAATGTTTCTGATATTCCAATCTATAGACACTCTGTAACACATCAACAACATTACTAAACAAAAATGTCAGAGGCCTTCTAGCTATATGTGTCATTTTAAACTTGGGAGATTAATGCTGTGAATATGCAAAAGCATAAAAAATATTGTGTGGATAATACTCTTTATAGACTACAAACCCAGAGCCTGTACTTTAAAAGTTGAAAAATACAACTTCAATATTGATCAAATATTTTGCATGATATGACATCTCCTTATCATCCACTGTAATTGAAAGCTCTAAAACAAAATCTGTTTAGGACTAGGGGTTAACAGTCTTCAGCATGCCGGATGTTGTGGGCTACTTTGTTGCTCTGTGTACTTTGTTGTTGTGTGTGCTACTTTGCCTTGCTGTTAGAGCATTATGGGAGATGTAGTCCATGCAGGGCTATTGCAAGCATTTTTGACGACACAGGCAGGGGTGGACCGACCGCTCACAGGGCCCTCGGGCAGTGGGTAATCAAGGCTCCCCCTCCTGTTACAGGGTTTTTTGGTCCCCTGCTACTCTTCCCCCCCCCTCCTTTCTGCTGCTTTCACACAGATATTATGTGTAGGCTGCCCAGCACACAGAATGGCTGTGTGTGAGCCACAAACCCCTGACTCCCACACCCGCAGAGCCCACCAAAATGGCCAGATTTACATTTAAGGGGTTAATCCAACCAAAAACAGTGTTTTAATAAACACTGGTTTTAGATGGAGTAACCCTTGCTGGCATGCCTCCCCAGCAATTAAAATAAAGAAAGGGAGCAAATTTTATTACACGCTTCCACTGTTTTTGCTGATGACATCACAAGCAGCATCCCCCACATGTGCAACCATACATGTGTTTGGAATCTACTTGTGGGGTTGTGTGTGTGGGGATGCTGCTAGGGATGTTGTGTTCCTGTATGTCAAAGTGTTGTGTTAAAATTAATAATTTGTCTTGTTTTACCTATTGTACAGCACTGCAGAATATGTTGGCACTATATAAGTGATTGTAATAATTGTGTGTGTGTAGGCTGTATGCAATATTTAAATGGTGGGTATGCTGTTTGTTATGTGTATGTGTAGGGAGGCTGCATGTGGTTTTGTATGTGTAGGGAGGCTGCATGTGGTTTTGTATGTGTGGGGATCCTGCTTGTGGGATTGTGTCTATACAGTGAGGCTCCTTGTGGGTTTTTGCATGTGTGAATGGGGCTATTTGCAGTGCGGTATGTGAGTGGACAGGGCTGGTTGTGTTGCAGTGTGTGTGGCATTGAATCTGTAGTAGGCATCTGATGGTTTCTGGGGCTGTAGTGTGTGCGTGTTTGGATAATAGAGGCTCTACTGTGTATAAGTAGGATAGGCTGTAGTGTGTGCCAGTGGGGATAGATGCTGTTAACATATAAAAGGTACACATATTTATACTGTAAGTGTATTCATTTTAGGGTTACTGTAGTTCATATATGAAAAAGTAACACTTCTTTTACTTTATTCATTTTAGGACCTCCCTTAACTTGGCAAAGATACAAGGCCATAAATAAAACGTAAGGGTGCAAAAGTCATGGGATATTCCCTGACTTAGGACAAGATGGCATCTTAAAGTCTGAACATCTTTATCTGTTTAGGGTTACATAGAATGTGACGGCAGATAAGAACCATTCGGCCCATCTAGTCTGCACAATTTTATAAATACTTTCATTAGTCCCTGGCCTTATCTTATAGTTAGGATAGCCTTATGCCTATCCCACGCATGCTTAAACTCCTTTACTGTGTTAACCTCTACCACTTCAGCTGGAAGGCTATCCCATGCATCCACTACCCTCTCAGTAAAGTAATACTTCCTGATATTATTTGTAAACCTTTGCCCCTCTAATTTAAGACAATGCCTCTTGTTGTGGTAGTTTTTCTTCTTTTAAATATGGTCTCCTCCTTTACTGTGTTGATTCCCTTTATGTATTTAAATGTTTCTATCATATCCCCCCGTCTCGTCTTTCCTCCAAGCTATACATGTTAAGATCTTTTAACCTTTCCTGGTAAGTTTTATCGTGCAATCCATGAACCAGTTTAGTAGCCCTTCTCTGAACTTTCTCTAAAATATTAATATCCTTCTGAAGATACGGTCTCCAGTACTGCGTACAATACTCCAAGTGAGGTCCAGGGCCGGACTGGGGATACAAAGCAGCCCTGGAAAAAAATCTATGCCATCCCCATAAGTCATTGTGCTATGTAGGGTGTTTATATATATATATATATATATATATATATATATATATATATATATATATATATAAAAAACAGATAAAATTCTTATCTTGTAATACCTTTTTTATTGGACTAACAGAATTTTTTAATGACAAGCTTTCGGGAGAACCTCCCTTTCTCAAGTCTGAAGCATTTCTGAGCAAAACGACACATAGAATTCAAAGTTGAGTTGTGATACAGGGGTTAAAGCGACATGAGTGTAGATAAGACACAGGTTTGTTAGAAAATAGACACCATCTTAGCAGAGGGTCATAAATATCTTGTTGAAGAGAAGAGTAGGGGGGAGAGAGGGAAAAGAAAAACAAACAAGCAGACAGTGCACAGGATGATACACTTTATACATGCACACACACAGAAATATGTATATGTGAACGCATAAACACATGTGTATATATACATAAGCACATATACATACATGCACATGGACTCATATACACAAATATAAATGCACAGTAATATATATAAGCATTCATGCATACGAGTATGGGAAAGCATAGGTCTACACATAGTACTTTGTATATAGATAGAATAAACATATAGGAATGCATTTTAAAGTGTTGGTACATATGACAGAACAGTAAGATAATGCTGGGAGAGTGTTCATGTAAAGTGTTGGTAGTGGGACAGGAATCCCAAATCAATATTTAGTCCTCTCTTCTTGCTGTTAAACCATTTAATCATTCTGGCTTCAAAGGCTTTTCTTTCCTGGGTATTTTTAAAAACCCCTTTCAGTACTTTGATTTTTAGGTCCTTCAGTGAGTGGCCAGGCTGGGTAAAGTGGTGTCCCACAGGAGTGCAGTATGATTCTTCTTTGTGGTGTTTAATAGAGTGTCTGTGCATATTCATTCTGCCATTTAATGGCTGGGTGGTTTCCCCAATGTAGCATCCTAGGTGGCATTTTATGCATTGAATCATGTATACCACATTGCTGGATGTGCAGGAGTATGAACCTTTAATGCTGTAGGTTTTATTGTTGTGTGTGGCTGTGTTGTCTGTGCATATGTGCTGACACAGTTTGCAGCGAGTTTTTTTGCATTGACTGGTCCTGTTTTCTTCATTATTACCATCAGTGGGCAGCCTCCTGTTGATTAATTTTTGTTGGAGGTTTGGTTGTTGTCTGAAGGCCAAAATGGGTGTTTCAGGGAAAATGTTTTTCAGAGTCTCATCTTCTGTTAATATTGGTTGTAGGTCTTTGATGATTTTCCGTATTTCCTCAAGAGCAGGGTTGTAGGTGACCACAAGTGGCACTCGTGTGCATATTTTTTTCTCTCTGTATTGTAGCAGGCGCGTACGTGGCGTTTTTACAGCAGAGTTGATTTGTTTGGTAATAGTCTTTGGTTTGTAGCCTTTCTGTCTCATGGATTGGGAGAGTACATTTAGATGGGAATTACGGTCATTAGGATCAGAGCATATGCGATGGTACCTAGTGGCTTGGCTGTAGATGATGCCCTGTTTAGTATGAGAGGGGTGGAAGCTGGAGCTGTGTAGGTAACTGCACCTGTCTGTGGGTTTTCTGTAAACCGAGGTGTGGATTGTGCCATTATTACATGTCACAGTTGTGTCCAGAAAATTCACAGATCTAGTGGAATATTCCATTTTTAGTTTGATTGATGGATGGAATGTGTTGAAAGAGTCATGGAACTGTATCAGTTTTTCTTTGCTTTCAGTCCAAATTATGAAGATATCATCGATGTAGCGATAATATTTGTATGGTTTGGTGTGTTGGTTATCTAGGAATCTCTGTTCAAGATCTGCCATAAACAGATTAGCATATTGGGGTGCCATCTTAGTGCCCATAGCAGTGCCCATGGTTTGTAGGTAAACCTCATTGTTGAAACTGAAGTAGTTATGTGTGAGGATAAATAGTGCCAGTTCTGTGATAATTCGGGGGCTGTATTTTTGGTTGTTGACATGAGAGAGAAAATGGAAGCAAGCATTGATGCCATCTGTATGTGGAATGTTGCTGTACAGAGATTCCACATCCATGGTTACAAGGATGGTGTTAGCAGGGAGATTGGTGATTTGGCTGAGTTTGTTGAGGAAGTCGGTTGTGTCTTTTATGAAGCTGTTAGTGTTGGTGACTAGAGGTTTTAGGGTATTTTCTACCAGTCCTGAGATCTGTTCTGTGAGAGTTCCCATTCCTGTAATTATGGGTCTTCCAGGATTGCCGGCTTTGTGAATTTTGGGAAGCATATAGAAAGTGCCCATGCAGGGACTAGTTGGTATGAGTGATTGCAGTTCTAGGTGTAAGTTCTCAGGGAAGGATTTAATGAGCTCCCTAAGTTGTGATGTATATTCCTTGGTGGGGTCTTCATTTAGTTTTCTATAGTATTTGTCATCTGACAATTGCCTGTCACCCTCTTTTATGTAGTCCTGGGTGTTCATTATCACTACTGCTCCTCCCTTGTCTGCTGGTTTGATGGTGATAGCATGATTATTTTTCAGGTCATTTATAGCCATTTGTTCCTGTACTGAGAGATTATGAAACATTTTCTTTTGGTTTTGCTTGGTTGTCAAGGATACTGTTCTTAGACAGAAACTTTCAATGTAACTGTCCAGTTTGGCATTTCGTCCTGGTGCTGGACTGAAATTAGTGGGTTTTTTCCGGTTGTTGTAATCCATTGTGGTTTCAGTGCTCTCTTTGTCATGAAAGTATTCCTTAAGTCGCATCCTTCTGAAAAATTCTTCCACGTCAGAGTAGAGACCAATGTCATCAAGTTTTGTGCTAGGGCAAAATGATAGTCCTTTGGAGAGAACTGATGTTTCTGGGTCAGATAGTTTGTAATCCGAAATGTTAACAATACCAGATTTCTCTTGCCATTTCTCTTTCTCTGCCAAATGTTTGTGATAATCCTGCTGTAGTCTGATGAGTTTATTATTTTTCTTCTTAAAAAGGTCCCTTTGTTGCTTTTTGTAAAAATAGTGTAGATCATGTTCTAGTTGTTTAGCCATATATGTATTCTCCTCACGTAGATTTTGGAGTAGATATTGTTTTTTATGTTGTATGCTATATTTCTTGTTGTAGAGCTGGTGGATGAGATGGTTTCTTAGTTTCTCACTAGTGCGTTTACACAGGTTTTCAGCATACTGTGTTTTCTGCGTATTAGCCAGTGGATTTTTGATTTTTATGCCTTTGGGGATCAGCTGTCTTTTCTTGCAGATGGATAGAAAGTGTATGTCGCTGTTGAGCTGTACTTCTTTTGTGGTCATCTTGTAGATTTGCTTTGTAGATTTGCTATATATATGCAATTGAAATAGTTGGCTGCACTCTCAGATTTCCTGAAAATGTAACTTTTATTGAAATATTTAAGAGAAGATCAATGTTTCAGTCCCTCTTGTGGACTTTTGTCACGATCCTGAAGCAAGTCCACAAGAGGGACTGAAACGTTGATCTTCTCTTAAATATTTCAATAAAAGTAAAATTTTATGGAAATCCGAGAGTGCAGCCAACTATTTCAATTGCCTATACATATACTGGATACTGGAGCCCTGGTGATGCAACAGTATATATATATATATATATATATATATATATATATATATATTTTATTGATACATTTCTTCTTCTAATTCAAAATATTAGTTCTTTTAGGGTAATTAAATTATACAGTGGGAGCATACTCACACACAGACAGACAATCTTACTGATGCACACAAATAGGCTCATTGACAGACAATGACACACACAGACAAGGTTACTGGCACACACACAAATTTAGTACAGACAAACTCTGATACACACACACAGCTTACTATAGACAACCTCACTGTCACACACACACGCTCACTACAGACAAGCTCACTGATGCGCACACACTCTCCCTACAGACAAGCCCATTGACACACACATGCTCCCTACAGAAGAGCTCACTAACACACAGATTCACTATAGACAAGCTCACTGACACACACATGCTCACTATAGACAAGCTCACTGACACACATATGGTCACTACAGACAAGCTCACGATCACACTCATGCTTACTACAGACAAGCTCACTGTACACACATGCTCACCACAGACAGGCTCCGACACACCCATGCTCCTTACAGACAAGCTCACTAACACACACACATATGATCCCTACAGACAAGCTCACTGACACACATACAAGCTCACTCACTAGCAGGCACACACACACACACACACACACACACACAAACTCACTAGCAGGCACATACACACACACGCAGAGGCTCCCTCACTAGCAGATGCACGCACACACACACACACACAGAGGCAGACAGTCACTGACACCCAGGCAGACAGCCCCACACACACACACACAGGCAGACAGTCACTGACACCCAGGCAGACAGCCACACACACACACACACAGGCAGACAGTCACTGACACTCAGGCAGACAGCCACACACATACACAGGCAGACAGCCACACACTCACACACACACACACACAGGCAGACAGTCACACACACACACAGGCAGAGAGTCACACACACAGGCAGAGAGTCACACACACAGTCACACACACAGTCACACACACAGACAGTCACACACAAAGACGGTCACACACAGTCACACACAGACACAGTCACACACAGACACAGTCATACACTCACACAGACAGTCACACACTCATACAGACAGTCACACACACACACAGTCACACACTCACACAGACAGTCACACACAGACAGTCACACACACACACAGACAATCACACACAGTCACACGCTCACACAGACAGTCACACACTCACACAGACAGTCACACACTCACACAGACAGTCACACACACAGTCACACACTCACACAGACAGTCACACACTCACACAGACAGTCACACACTCACAGACAGTCACACACTCACACAGACAATCACACACAGTCACACGCTCACACAGTCACACAGTCACACAGACAGTCACATGCTCACACAGACAGTCACACACAGACAGTCACACACAGTCACACACTCACACACTCACACAGACAGTCACACAGACAGTCACACACAGATAAAGTCACACACACAGACAGTCACACACACAGACAGTCACACACCCACACAGACAGTCACACACTCACAGACAGTCACACACTCACACAGACAATCACACACAGTCACACGCTCACATAGTCACACACAGTCACACACAGAGACAGTCACAAGCTCTCACACAGACAGTCACACGCCACACAGACAGTCATCACACACACATTGCACAGTCACACACAGACAGTCACACGCCACACAGACAGTCACACACTGCCACAGACAGTCACATACAGACAGTCACACACTCACACAGACAATCACACACAGCCACACGCCTCACACAGACAGTCACACACAGTCACATCGCCTTCACACACAGACAGTCATCACACACTCACACAGTCACAGCCATACAGTCACACACTCACACAGACAGTCACACACACACAGACACAGACAGTCACACACTCACACAGACAGTCACACACTCACACAGACAGTCACACACAGTCACACACTCACACAGACACAGACAGTCACACACTCACACAGACACAGACAGTCACACACTCACACAGACAGTCACACACTCACACAGACAGTCACACACAGTCACACACTCACACAGACAGTCACACACAGACAGTCACACACTCACACAGACAGTCACACACTCACACAGACACAGACAGTCACACACACACTCACACAGTCACACACACAGACACAGACAGTCACACACTCACAGACAGTCACACACAGACAGTCACACACAGACAGTCACACACAGACAGTCACACACTCACACAGACAGTCACACACTCACACACAGTCACACACTCACACAGTCACACACTCACACAGTCACACACTCACACAGTCACACACTCACACAGACAGTCACACACACAGACAGTCACACACAGTCACACACTCACACAGACAGTCACACACTCACACAGTCACACACTCACACAGTCACTCACACAGACAGTCACACACAGACAGTCACACACTCACACAGACACACTGACCTCCTTCTTACCTCCTGTTTGTTGCTCCTGCAGGCTGGTTGTTGGGGAAGCAGGGACTCCTTCCTGCTTCCCATGCTGCAGTCAGCCAGGCCGCCGCCGCACAGTAAGTCCCGCCCCCACAGCACTCTAAGCCCCGCCCCAGCCGCACGCTAAGCCCCGCCCCGCCGCAATTATTCTTTTTTCTTTTTTTTATGATCCCGGCCAGCCATGTGTGAGCTGTGCCGGCCGCCTGGCTCCCCCTTCTCCCATGGGGCTCTGTGCGGCCGCACAGCTCACACATAGCCGGCCAGGATCACAGGGCTGCACAGGAGCTGTCAGCCCAATGATCAGGGCTGTCAGACCGGCCCCAGGTGCCGCGGCCCACCAGGAAATTTCCCGGTATCCCGGTGGGCCAGTCCGGCCCTGGTGAGGTCTCAGAAGTGTTCTGTAAAATGGCATGAGCACTTCCCTCTTTCTACTGCTAATACCTCTCCCTATACAACCAAGCATTCTGCTAGCATTTCCTACTGCTCTATTACATTGTCTGCCTACCTTTAAGTCATCAGAAATAATCACCCCTAAATCCCTTTCCTCAGATGTTGAGTGTGACGAGACCAATCTCGCCACATTGCATTGGAGAAGCCTGGTTGCTCGCCTGCTGCCTTTGGAATATGGCCCCTGTTAAAAGACATTTTTTTTACCTGCAGAAAAGCTTCATTCGTGCTTTTCTGCCTGGGGTTCGGTAGATTTGTTTGAATGTGTTATACCCCAGATAGGAATCCCATGGAGCCCATTCGTATGAAACTGACTGTAAAGACTTTGGCTCCATGGCGATTAAACTGTATTCGTGTGGTCTGAGCGCCATTCACTTAATAATGTGCGCTCAGACCTGAGCTATCTGGGGATATGTTACATGTCTGTGTTTTATGTAATAAATGTGACTTTATGTATTTTAAAGTGTTTTGTGTCTTTTTGCAACCATGTGCTTAATGGAGTCTTGTGTCTGTCCTGGGAGATAATTGAATTACTTATCTCCAGGATAGAAGACTCTGAAACTGGTTTGGGCCAGAAAGCCATGCTTCATTTAGTCACAAAGGACTTTTTACTAACTTTTGAACCCCTTGTCTGATTGTGCCATTTTTAATATGTTGTTCCCCTGAATGGATTGATTGTGAATATGTAATTTTATGTGAATGTGATGTATGGTTTTAGAGTTATGAAAGTTGGGTAGAAAGTATGTTTTAACTGTATGTGTAATTGAGTTTCCTCTCAGGATAAGGGGAGGGAATATGTGGGATGTAACTGTGATGTGATTGGTTGTTTTATACCTCCCTGTGGGCGGTCCTGTATTTGCAAGACTGTAATAAAAACCAGGCTGGGTGTGCCAGCACCTCAGACCACTGCTTGACCCTCAACACGGAGCATTGTCTCGTTCTTGGGGGGATTCACTGTATGCTGTTAGAGACTGATTGCCAGGAGTGTAAGCTGATTGTCTGCTTTTCCTGTTCGTCTGCTAGCAGCTATTTGGGAGGTTCCAGTTCAGGAGTTGGAATGCTATTTTGTATCCAGTTCGGGAGTTTGGTGTTCTGCAGTAGCTGTGCCTGTATCTCTGGAAAGGGGGCCGATCGCCTAAACGGTTTTTACCCCTTGTGTGCAAAACGGTCCGTTACATTGAGGTTAGGACTCTATCAAATATTCTGTACTCTGCCCTTGGGTTTTTACATCCAAGATGCATTATCTTGCACTTATCCACATTAAATGTCAGTTGCCACAACTCTGACCATTTTTCTAGTTTACCTAAATCATTTTCCATTTGGTTTATCCCTCCTGGAACATCAACCCTGTTATATATCTTAGTATCATCAGCAAAAAGACATACCTTACCATCAAGTCCTCCTGCAATATCACTAATAAAAATATTAAAGAGAATGGGTCCAAGCTTCGAATATACTCCATTGACTACAACCCTCTGTTGCCTGTCACTCAGCCACTGCCTTACCCATTCAACAATATTGGAATTCAAACTTAAAGATTGCAATTTATTGATAAGCTTTCTATGTGCAACAGTGTCAAAATTCTTAATGAAATCTAGGTAAGCAATGTCTACTGCACCACCCTGATCTATTATTTTAGTTACCCAATCAAAAAAATCAATAAGATTAGTTTGGCATGATCTCCCTGAAGTAAACCCATGTTGTCTCTGATCTTGAAATACATGTATTTTTAGATGTTCAACAATCCTATCTTTTAACATGGTTTCCATTACTTTCTCCACTACTGAAGTAAGGCTTACTGGCCTATAGTTGCCCGACTCCTCCCTACTACCTTTTTTGTGAATGGGCACAACATTCGCCAACGTATAATCTTCTGGGACTACTCCTGTTAACAATGATTGGTTAAATAAATCTGTTAATGGTTTTGCTAGTACACCACTAACCTCTTTTAATAACTTTAGGTGTATTTCATCAGGTCCCATTTACTTATTTGTCTTTACTTTTGACAGTTGAAATAGATCCTGCTCCTCTGTAAACTCACATGTAATAAATGACTTATTTGTCCTTTTTCCTAACTGAGGTCCCTTTCCTTCATTTTCCTCTGTAAATACTGAACAAAAATATTAATTGAGGCAGTCAGCTAGACCTTTATCCTCATCTACATACCTCCCTTCTTTTGTTTTTAATCTAACTAATCATTGTTTCACTTTCCTTTTCTCATTTATGTATCTAAAAAATGTTTTGTCCCCTTTTTTACTGACTGTGCTATTTTCTCTTCTGTGTGTGATTTGGAAGCTCTTATAACTTGCTTAGCCTCTTTCTGCCTAATCTTATAGCGCATTCTGTCTTCCTCACTCTGGGTTTTTTTATAATTACTAAATGCTAACTTTTTGTTTTTTTACTTTTTTGGCCATATCTGCAGAGTATCACAGTGGTTTCTTGAATTATTTGCTTTTACTGACAAGCCTAATGCAATTTTCTGTTGCCTTCAGCAGTGCAACTTTTAAATAATCCCATTTCTCTTGGACTCCATTTAAATTGCTCCAATCTCATAATGACTCTTTTACACGTATTCTAATTTTAGAAAAGTCTGTTTTTTTAAAGTCTAAAACTTTTGTTTTTGTGTGATGTGACTCAGTCACTGTTCTTATATTAAACCACACTGACTGATGATCACTGGATCCTAAACTTTCACCTACAGTAATATACCAAATCTCCATTTGTTAACACTAAATCTAGTATGGCCTCAACAACTTGCTTTAGAGACAATCCCAGTAGGGAGTTTAGTATATGTGTGCTCCTGGCACAAGCAGCTAATTTTGTTTTCCAATTCAGTTACCGCAGTATATTATGTACTGAAAGAGTCGTAGCATAGCCTTGAAGCTTGTTTATGCATTATTGTAATTGTATTTCGTCTGGGACAAAATGGCGTAAACATAAAAAGCACTGAAAGTATGTAAAAGGTTATTGCTTAGAGAAACGTATAAAAAACAATATGTTCCATTTCTAACACCGAGTCAGTTTGCAATATCTCTTAAAGACGAAGTACACAGTTTGAGAAATACAATATTTGCATTTGCCCATAACAACTCGGCCCTCGGTCCATGACTGATCTGCCCAAGTGGTCAGTTCGCCCCTGTACACAGGCAAAAATACATTCTGATGTTTCCCACGCCCCCAATGTCTCTTAACCCCCTTTTGAATATCCTAAGTTCTTGTGTTTATTTTTCCCTCTTTTGAATGTCTTACCCATTTTATTGTATCTTATCCCCCATGTTCCCCCTTTGCATGTCTTACACATTCTGTGTATGTCTCTTACTCCCCCTCCTTTGTGTGTCTTATACTTCCACCGGCCACTTTGTGGGTCTCATACTTCCCCCAAGCCTTTGTGTGTCAGGGTTTGGTGTATGGAACCTGAAAATGCAGAACTTGTACTAGCAAAAACAATAAACAAAAGTCCAAGGCAAACAAATCCAATAGGGCAAGGCAGAGTCAGGCAATCCAGGGTTCAAAGTCCAGGCAGCAATGGTTCAGTAACAGGGGCAGTATGGGTCTGTCCTTCATCTGGGCTGCCATGGGAGGTAATTATGTTTTCAGATTGATTCCAGCTGCACCCACAGGACCCACAGGTCCTGCAGCATGGAATGATCATGCACAACTCCCAATCATCTATCGTTGCGTGTGAGATGTGATGTGGTCGGAGTTTGAAGTTTGCGGTCTGCCTCTGGCATTCACGCATGCCACCGGAGCAGCAAGGAAGTGAAGGTAAGTCATGAAATTGTGTCTCTTATTTCTCTCACCCCTCTGTGTGTCTCTTTCTCACCTTTCCCTGCCTATGTGTGCCTTTTTCTCCTTCCAGTACCTATGCGTGTCTCTTTTTTCCATCCAGCTCCTCTGTGTGTCTCTTTCCCCAAGCACAGTTGTGTGTCTCTGTCTCCTACCAGTCCCTTTGTGTTTCTCTTCTCCAAGCTCCTCTGTATGTACTCCAACACATTGTCACTCCCCCTCAGCCCTTTTGTGTATCTCTTTTCCCCTTCCCCAGCTCCTCTGTGTGTGTGTCTCCTGCCCAACCCTTCTGTATGTTTCTTTCTCCCCTTTTCTCAGCCCTTTTAGTATGTCTCTCATTCACCTCCCCCAGCCCTTCTGTGTGTCTCTTTCTCCCCTTCCACAGCCCATCTGTGTGTGTCTATCTCTCCTACCCTAGCCCCTCTGTTTGTCTCTGCCCCCAGCCATTGTTCTGTGTATCTTTCCCTGCAACTCCTCAACTCCCACCAGTACCTTATCTTTCTGTATGTGTGTCTCTTTCTCTCTTCCACCAGTACCTTGTATCTTTCTGCCCCCAGCCCATATGTGTGTCTCTTTCTCTCTTCAAGATCATCTGTGTGTCTCTTTCTCCTTCCAGCCCCTCTGTGTGTCTCTTTTCTTCAACCCCTCTGTGTGTCTCTTCCCCTCTAGAACCTCATCTCTTTCTGCCCCCAGCCCATATGTGTGTCTCTTTCTCTCTTCAAGATCATCTGTGTGTCTCTTTCTCCTTCCAGCCCCTCTGTGTGTCTCTTTTCTTCAACCCCTCTGTGTGTCTCTTCCCCTCTAGAACCTCATCTCTTTCTGCCCTCCAGCCACTTTGTGTGTCTCCTTTCCTCAGCCTCTCTGTATCTATCTTTACCACTCCCTTTGCATTTCTCATTCCTGACCTGCTCTCCTGTGTGTCTCTCCCACCCCAGCACCTTTTCTCTTCCACCCCCACCCCGCTTTGTGTATCTCTTTTTCTTTCCCAAGCCTCTCTGTATGTCTCTTTCCCCCAGACCTTCTGTGTGTCTCTTTTCCCCGTCCCCAGCTCCTTTGTGTGTCTCTTTCTATCTCACACCAGCCCATCTGTGTGTCTTACTCTCCTTCCCAGCCCCTCTTTACAGGGAGTGCAGAATTATTAGGCAAATTAGTATTTTGACCACATCATCCTCTTTATGCATGTTGTCTTACTCCAAGCTGTATAGGCTCGAAAGCCTACTACCAATTAAGCATATTAGGTGATGTGCATCTCTGTAATGAGAAGGGGTGTGACATCAACACCCTATATCAGGTGTGCATAATTATTGGGCAACTTCCTTTCCTTTGGCAAAATGGGTCAAAAGAAGGACTTGACAGGCTCAGAAAAGTCAAAATAGTGAGATATCTTGCAGAGGGATGCAGCACTCTTAAAATTGCAAAGCTTCTGAAGCGTGATCATCGAACAATCAAGCGTTTCATTCAAAATAGTCAACAGGGTCGCAAGAAGCGTGTGGAAAAACCAAGGCGCAAAATAACTGCCCATGAACTGAGAAAAGTCAAGCGTGCAGCTGCCACGATGCCACTTGCCACCAGTTTGGCCATATTTCAGAGCTGCAACATCACTGGAGTGCCCAAAAGCACAAGGTGTGCAATACTCAGAGACATGGCCAAGGTAAGAAAGGCTGAAAGACGACCACCACTGAACAAGACACACAAGCTGAAACGTCAAGACTGGGCCAAGAAATATCTCAAGACTGATTTTTCTAAGGTTTTATGGACTGATGAAATGAGAGTGAGTCTTGATGGGCCAGATGGATGGGCCCGTGGCTGGATTGGTAAAGGGCAGAGAGCTCCAGTCCCACTCAGACGCCAGCAAGGTGGAGGTGGAGTACTGGTTTGGGCTGGTATCATCAAAGATGAGCTTGTGGGGCCTTTTCGGGTTGAGGATGGAGTCAAGCTCAACTCCCAGTCCTACTGCCAGTTCCTGGAAGACACCTTCTTCAAGCAGTGGTACAGGAAGAAGTCTGCATCCTTCAAGAAAAACATGATTTTCATGCAGGACAATGCTCCATCACACGCGTCCAAGTACTCCACAGCGTGGCTGGCAAGAAAGGGTATAAAAGAAGAAAATCTAATGACATGGCCTCCTTGTTCACCTGATCTGAACCCCATTGAGAACCTGTGGTCCATCATCAAATGTGAGATTTACAAGGAGGGAAAACAGTACACCTCTCTGAACAGTGTCTGGGAGGCTGTGGTTGCTGCTGCACGCAATGTTGATGGTGAACAGATCAAAACACTGACAAAATCCATGGATGGCAGGCTTTTGAGTGTCCTTGCAAAGAAAGGTGGCTATATTGGTCACTGATTTGTTTTTGTTTTGTTTTTGAATGTCAGAAATGTATATTTGTGAATGTTGAGATGTTATATTGGTTTCACTGGTAATAATAAATAATTGAAATGGGTATATATTTGTTTTTTGTTAAGTTGCCTAATAATTATGCACAGTAATAGTCACCTGCACACACAGATATCCCCCTAACATAGCTAAAACTAAAAACAAACTAAAAACTACTTCCAAAAATATTCAGCTTTGATATTAATGAGGTTTGTGGGTTCATTGAGAAGATGGTTGTTGTTCAATAATAAAATTAATCCTCAAAAATACAACTTGCCTAATAATTCTGCACTCCCTGTATATCTTTTTCCCCTTTCCTAGACCCTCTGTATGTCTCTCCCCCAGACATTCTGTGAGTCTCTCCCAGCATCCCCCCGTGTGTCTGTTCCCAATCAGCACCTTGTTTCTTTTTTCCCCACAGCTTTTTGTGTGATTTTCTCTCCTTCCCTAGCCTGTCTGTGTCTCTTCCCACCAGCCCCTCTGTGTCTCTCTTTCCCCCAATCCTCTCTGTATGTAGCATGGCTGTGCAGAACCCGGTAGAATATCTCAGTGAACAACTTCCTGTTAGACCGAGTCACGTCTGCACAGCTCTATGCACATTTCCTTCCTGCCAGCCATCTGGACCTTGCACTCTGAGCCAGTGCACCCTAAGGTGGCCACCTGTACCTCCTTATGTTTACACCAGCCCTCAGTCCACAGCATATGGAGTGCTGAAGGTTGCCTACCCCTGAAAAAATGTTTGCATCTTTACTCTTTTTTGTTTTCTACAGGAACTGTATATAGGGCTAATTTTCTATTGTCACACTTCATTCCTCTTACCTTTCACTCTTAAAATGCTACTCCTTTCATCAAGCCCAACAACCATTTGACCAAGTAAAGATTTATTTTACCTCTGCTCTGACTCCTAGAACTAACCTTCTCTTATCTGAAAGATTGATAGCTCTGGAGATGCTCTTGAAATCCTTTCCTTGTGCTGCTCAGTAAGACTTCCCTGTCATTCTCCAGTGGCTTTCCATTTTAGAAAAATCACCCAAGGAGAAGTAAAAATGAAAAGCAACTTTTGTCCATTAAATTTTCTTTTGAACAAAGGCAGCAAGTGATGTTCGCTGTTCTTTTTTTTTTTTTAAACAGTTCCTTCGTAAAGGTTAATTATATTCAGTCACTGTACCGTTGCTTTTTATAGAAGCTGCACCCATATCTCACAATACTGACAATCCTTCTAAAGAAATAATTGTAGAATATAGCAATTTAAATGAGGTTCTGATGGTACATTGCAATATGTTTGCTTCCAGCAGATAGATCATGGTTACCATGAACCACTGATTGCAACTTCTATTTTCTTTAAGTGCACATTAAAGGGCCTAGACTTCAGAACTAATGTGTTTTTTTCTAAAATCAACCAACATTCAATATGATTTACTAAATGGCGGTGAAACTGTAGCAGCTAAAATTAATTACATTCCAAAGTCATTTGAAGGATCTTTGATATTTACTACCATGGATTCTGAGCATCTCAGCTTAGCCACAGAAATTATTTTCCCAGCATAAGACCTGCAAGACTTGTTAGAGATCTATGGTTTAAAGTCGGCCAATCACCAATTACTAATTATCAAGACTATACCTTCAAGGAATTTGCTGGGAGGCATTAACAATTTACCAGCTCAGTCACCCTCAGACAAAAACATAAATAAAGTAATTTTATAACTTCCTAAATGTCTTTATTTCAGCCACCACAGGTTTGACAAAGGCTTTTCCAGAGTGGAAACATTGCCAGGTTACCACTTGGTGGATGAAATAAAGGCACGTTGGAAATTATAAAAATACTTTGATGTTTATGTTCTTGAATATACAAGGTGATCGAGATATATAAAAGGGCTCTCCTGCCTTGAATGTTCAGGCTGGATGGCAAAGATGAAGCTGTTTTGTTCCCTATCCATTTTTGGAGTAAATGTTAATGAAGTTACATTGGATTACTAATAAATATTAATATTGACTGAAGATTAAAGGTCTTCAATTGTGACATGTAAGAAAGCAGAAAAAATAAATTTTTTAAAGATCTGATTAGTAACATAACAATAACATACCAATGGTTATGGTTCTTTTAGGCTGGGGGTTCAACCCCCGAGAGTCTTTGTGGCACCGGTGGCTTGGTTTCCACTAACCAGTATTGCTGTTGTGGAGTGGAAATGCCACGTTGGCCATAGCTATTTTGTCCACATTTGATGCCATTCATTGGCTTTGTGGGAAGCACATATTGTAGGAAGTATTTATCTAGGAAGCTGACAATTTCAGAAGCTAAGGATCACTGTGTAGACAGTTCCAGTAGTCATAAAGCCACCAGATTAACTAGAGAATATGAGAGTTTGCTGATTCCTCCCCAGAGACTATATATCCTGCAGTTCAATTAAGGTAAAAATATGTACTGTTATTTAAATAACTATTATTATTGGATGACCATGGCTCCTTTTGCACTCATAGATGTTTCAGTATTAATGGTGATTTATTATACTGTAGTTATTATGTAACCAAACCTTTACTGCCTGGTAATTTAATGTTTCTAACTTTCATGCTAATTCACTCTTATTCATATATTATTATTGTATGTTTTACCTTATAATTAGTACAAAATAAAATAAATATTTATTATGCCATTAGGGATTTCTGCTTAAAAGGAATTAACTGCAATATATTGTTGTGGTTATAGTGCAATGAAACTGTACGCAGTCACTTGGGTGTTTGTCAATTTATTTTCAATCAGTTTGACAGAATTCAAAGGAAACTTAAACATCCATCGCCCACCTCATTGCTTGCAAAGTCACACTGGGACCATCTAGTTTACTCATTATCTGGCCATATTCTTGCTGTGTAGTGATATCTCACCTAGGGTTTGATTTAACATTTATTTGAAATTCTAGCAGCTGAACCTAATAAACTGGTGGCTGCTCTAGCTTAATCCTTCCAAAGCACATTTATCTGAAAATATTTTTTTTTATTAAGAATGTATCAAATGCAAGTTGTTCATCACATATCATTGGTACATCAGCATTAGATGTTGTTATTGCAGTGGTACCGTATATATTCTCGAGTATAAGACGACCCGAGTATAAGTCGAGACCCCTAATTTTACCCCCAAAAACTGGGAAAACTTATTGACTCGAGTATAAGACCAGGGTGAGAAATGCAGCAGCTACTGGTAAATTTCTAAATAAAATTATATCCCCAAATAATTATATTAATTGAATATTTATTTACAGTGTGTGTATATAATAAATGCAGTGTGTGTGTATAAGTGCAGTGTGTTTATGTATGAGTGCAGTGTGTGTGTGTGTGTGTATGAGTGCAGTGTGTGTGTGTGTATGAATGCAGTGTGTGTATGAATGCAGTGTGTGTATGAATGCAGTGTGTGTGTATGAGTGCAGTGTGTGTGTGTGTATGAGTGCAGTGTATGTATGAGAGCAGTGTGTGTGTATGAGTGCAGTGTGTGTGTGTATGAGTGCAGTGTGTGTGTATGAATGCAGTGTGTGTGTATGAGTGCAGTGTGTGTGTGTGTGTGTATGAGTGCAGTGTGTGTATATGAGTGCAGTGTGTATGAGTGCAGTGTGTGTGTGTGATGCAGAGCCTTGGTGGGGGGTGGGCATTTTAATTATTTATTTTTAATTATTATTATTTTAATATAATTTTTAAAAAATATTATTAATATTTTATTTTTTTATTATTTAATTTTTTATTTATATTTTTTTCCTCCCCCCTTCCTGCTTGTTAGCTGGCCAGGGAGGGGGGCTCTCATTGGGCTATGTAGGAGGGGGGCTGGCAGAGAGCTGTAACTTACCTTCACAGCAGCTGCTGTGAAGGCAAGTTACAGCTCTCTGCCAGCCCCCAACAGTACCGCCGGGCTTGTAATGAGCCCGGCGGTCCTGGTCTGTATTATGGCAATGTAAATTGCCATAATACAGACATTGACTCGAGTATGAGTTGAGTTGGGGTTTTTCAGCACAAAAAATGTGCTGAAAAACTCGACTTATACTTGAGTATATCCGGTAGTTACATATGGTTTAGTTAAACAACATTCTCTTTTTAATTGAATTGAATTTATAAGCAGGTTTAATAGGGAAAATGTGAGGGGAATAAATAAGCGTGGGAAAATGGAATAGTGTAATAATTTTAGAACGATTGGCTTCACAAAAGATCCACCACCACTGTCAGTGGAAGGCAGAGCCATCTCCACCACTAGGCGAATTAGGCAGCCACCAAGAGCACACCAACACCCTACTGTCTCCACTATTGTACTGAATTGCTTATTTGAGTAGTGGTAATTGGCAATAAAAAGAATAAAAATTTCCTCTCAGAATTTCCAAATTACTGGTCAGTCCTAGTGTTGCAGTGACATTTAAAACATTTTGTGTCAGGTTTTTGGTTCATTGAGTTCAGTAAAACTTAAACGGGCCTCCAACAATCATAGAGACTTAGACATCACTAGGGGAGTGTCCAGCTGTTCTTAAAGCTGCAGTACAGAATATGCAATCATACAATGAAAGCTACAGTAACTAGAGACTTGAGTGTCTGCTCAAGACAGGTCCTCTTTGTAAGCCTACCAGATTCCCTGCACAGTTATTACGAAATTTCAAAACTTACCTCTTCTTGCTCCAGTACTCTTTGTCAATGCAGATTGCAATACTTATTGTTCTGTACAGGTCCAATGGATATATTAAACACTACTGAACTGTCTCCATGGATCTTCAATTATGTCATGTTCAGAGCCGTCTTAACACATGGGTACACTGGGTAGTTGCCCCGTGGTCCCACGAGTTTAGGGGACCCCATAGTCTTGCCAATTTTTCAGTATATTATTCCTGGAGATTTATTCAGAACCTTCAAACCCTCTTTGTTAAATTGCTTAGGAGCACTAATCACCTTAGTATCAATTGTTATCTGTATATGCGATCTTGCAGTTGCTGAATACATATCTTGACCTTGACGAAAACCAACTCCACGCAGTAATTGTACTTAAGCAAGACAAAACCAACACGCATCGTTTTTCTGTGTTTCCCAATGTTGAACTTGCACTCGGAGTGTTCATGTGCATCACAATGACCAACTGTGCAAGAGAACGTTCATTTTCAAGACTGAAAAAAAAAATCAGCTTTACAGCACAATAGGGCAGCAGCGTTCGAACTGGCTTTCACTCATGTGTATGGAAAATAACAACATGAACACCATTGACTTCAAGCCAATTATAATCTCTGTGCCATCTCCGTCTGTATGATTCCAACGGAGTCAATTTTTAAGTTGAATTTCTTATTTTCCAACTTCAAGACTCATGTTTTATTGTCCACATGTTAGTGTGGATCAATCTCTTGTTTAATGTTTCAACACGGATTTCGTTGGAGCTACCAACAAATATAAGCTTTGGTTTATCGATAAGTTACATTTACATTCCTGTGAGTGGTTGTGTAGGCAGGGCCCCAGCGTACTGCTTTGCTCAGAGGCCTATAATGCTGTTAACATGGCCTCGGTCATGTTCAGAATAAAACTACCTTAAAGATATAATATCCAAATTCAATGAGCAGTACTATAATACTTGTCGTACACTGCAGTCTTTCAGCTAGCTAAGCTTAACTTATTCTTGCCTAGAATGTTATTGAATTTATCCTCACCATCAATAATTCAGCTGTCTGTTTATGTACACTAACTGTCAGTCATGGCAGTAATTTTACCATGAAGTTCCAGGTTTTTGGTAAAATCCCTTGCCAGGGCTATCTCTAGAGTAGGAAATTAACTTTTACCTGTATCATAGTGGTAATGGTACTGGAAATGGATTCTCAATGGGGGAGAGTTGGTCCTAAAGCACTAAAGGGACACTATAGTCACCAGAACAATTACAGCCTATTGTATTTGGTCTGGTGAGTAGAGTCATTCCCTTCAGGCTTTTTGCAGTAAATACTGTCTTTTCAGAGAAAATGCAGTGTTTACATTAGAGCCTAGAGCCTAGGGATAACCGACCACTCCTCAGATGGCTATGCACAGCACCGTCAGCATGGAGACACCGAAGATGGTGATTGGCCAGGACTGTGTTTGACTTGTGCTGGGTCTACCTCTGATCTGCCTCCTTGACAGTGTTAGCCAATCCTATTGGAAAGCATTATGATTGGTTCAGGGAATAATTTCTGATGATGTCAAGCAAACAGGCAGGTCACGGGCAGAGGCAGCAGCTGCAGACTTGAATACAAGTAAGATTTTACTATATAAATTTAGGGCGGCAAGGGGGCCATAGGGGGGGGGGGGGGATTCTGCATTCTGTTCAAAGGGGGATACTGACAAAACCTAGGTTGTTGGTGTACCTTGATGTCTGGATTGGCAACCAATATCTATATCAGAGGTTGGCAACTCCAGATGTTGTTAACTATATCTCCCTGATACTTTGCCAGCATTATGGCTGTAAGAGCATTATGGAAGATGTAGTCCACAACACCTGCAGGAGGTTTCCTGCCCTGCTCTATATTAATGATGGTTAACCTTGGAACCCCAGTGAACTACATTTTCATGATGCTGCTCATCCAGGCTGATCTAATTCACATATACTGGGGTGCCAAGATCAGCCATCACTGATTTAGAATACCATATGCAGTAACAGTTACACTAAATGATTAGGACTGCAAGCACTAATACACACAGAAGAGATAACACAAAGAGGTAACGTCCAAATCCCAACTGTTATAATAAAGGATCCTAGTTGTGTTAACATGAATTGCACTGAAATATTTAGCATATTATTAGATATGGTACAATCATGCAGCAAGCACTGAGGTTAGAGTGCAAGAGGTGCTTGAGCCAATGGAGATTAGGATGGGAGTTCTTTTCTATAATCAGGCTACCCAGCATCAAAAGGCAAAATTCACAGAATATGCAGAAGGAAACCAGGTCCGACACTGTGATAATAACATATTACAGAAAATCAGAAGAACAGATAAAATCCATTCAGGAGGAGCTTTTCTTTATTTCTAAAGAAAATAATAAGAAGCACTATTTACTGCAGCGGTTCACTCTGAAATGACAAAGAATGTAAAAATAAATGAGTAAACTTGCAGAAAACATGTAATAATGTAACACCGATGGTTAAAACAACATTCTACATTAAAAGTGATAAAAATGGAAGCATCAAACATGTCACATCGTAGGATAGAAACAAAAAGAGACACAACTAAATAATGAACGAGACAGTCAGAATAAAAACTAGAGAAAGGGGGGAAAAGGCATTCAGAAAGAGGGAGGGAGAGAGCGAGTGTGATAGAGGAGGAGGGAGGAGAAGAGAATGGATCTGGAAAGTGAGAGACAGAGGAAGGGAGAGATGAAAGAAGTGCAGCAGCTTAGCCAGGAGGTAAGAAGAGAAAATCTGATACATACACTCGCTGAATGCAACATACAGCCAGAGCCGCTATATATTTATACATAGTGATGTATGCAAGCAAGGTATAAATACCTTCACACAGGAGGACATTTCAAACAAACATACCCTACAATTAGGTAGCAAAACTGTATTTTAATTACCAAGAGAGAGACCTGGGGGTACACAGCTGTGTTCATGCTGTGCACAAACACACACATTATATGGGTATATTGAAACATAGAGGGAGATGTGTACACAGCAAGCAAGTGAATAAAACTGTGGGGGTAAGAGCAATGATTTAACAAGAATGCATGTGTGCAAATGTGTGTTTATATATATACAAATACAAACACACACACACACACACACACACATATATATATATATATATATATATGTATCAATCTTTAATTGCTTAGATAGATAGATAGATAGATAAAGAGAGAAAGAGAGAAAGAGAGATAGAGATTTTATGCAGATAAATGTTAATAAATGCATTTAAAGGACTAGCAAATACACAGTTTAGTTGTACATACAGAGCAGTGTGATGTGTAATTAATAATAAATATATATATAGTGCATAGTGACAAATGGGAATTAAATGACTTTTTAGGTTTGCATGCTTTCTCAGGGGAGTTATATTTGATATATTAGTGTTCTCATTTTATGTGATTTTTTGTCTGTCTGAATTGTTTGTTGGGATTGTGAACTCTTGCTGTTTATATGTTGTATTCTTCAAAGTATAAATAGCTCTTATTTTCCATTGCTTATTGCCTTGGAGTTCAGAGGATTTCTCTTCTGGGGTCATAATTCTATAATTGCTTTGTTGCCGTTTCCTTATAATTGTAAGTATATGTTAAGTCAATTTTCTGGGAAAGTAATTATGGAAGCTTGGCTGTTTACGTTAGTTATACAATGTGTGTAACAGTAAGTGGTATTTTGCTTCCACATACAAGAAATTATAATCAAGTAAAGTGTCAGGAAAGATACATTGAGATTGCTTGGCATTTCCAAGTAGGTGCCAATGTATAGATGCTATTACACATAGTGCTGCTGATGTTATGGACCATAGATTAGATGACCCTGTCTATAATGTAAAACCTTTGTCTTGAGGTTTGATCAGGGGGTGCAGTTGGTGCATTAACCAACCTTTCTCACCAGCTTTGTGTGTTTTCAGTTGCATTATATTTGTTGGTATTTTTTGATGTATATATGTGTATAAAATGTTCTGATCAGAACACAAATCTTTCTATGTAATTTGATGCTAATAGAATCTGAGGTACATGTTTCTAACAAAATGCCATAATGTTAGTTTATGTTATATATCAGTGTTGTAATGCTATACATTTGTCTTATGCATATAAGGTATGTTTTAAAATGAACGTGTTAGTTTTGATTGATTTTGTTGTTCCAATTGGTATAGAGCTATGTGTGTGTTTGGTTGTGCTTGTCTTTGAGCTCTGTGATCTATGATTATGTTTAATCTGCAGAAGGAATCTGCAGTTACTCTATGTTGGACTAACTGCAGTGTATGCTCTGGGGTCTATGTGTGTGGAAACATTACCTTTTGCAAGTTTAAACACTGCATGTTGCATTTATACGGATAAAGACAGGCGTGTTGTTATGTCTGTATAATATCATTTGCTGCATTGGCCATGGAATTTGTCTTGTAAATATATAGCTGAGATGTTAGCTCTATAACTTGAAAAGCCAGCCTATGGCTTTCCTGATCTAGAACTCTAGAGCCTGTTTGTATCTCTAGAGATGATATGAATTGCACAACTACAGTTACTGGTCAGTTCTGGTTGGCTACCCATGAATTATGCATGTATGTTTTTTTGTTGAAGACTGCATTTAATAAATTTTTCTAATGAGGAATACATTCTCTGCACTCCATTTAGACTCCACAGAAGATCCTATGGTTCGAGGATATCTTTGGTCCCATCTTTGCCCATGTCTTTGCAGAACTGGTGACTCTCCTTTGAGAGACTCTGATGTGTGAGAGATGTCTCAGGCATGGAATGGCTCAACTTCCACAGAGCTACCTCCAGGAGGAATCATTGTACCAGTTGTCTTCTCACTAATATTTGCCCTGGGCACAGTGGGGAATGGACTAGTCTTGGTCGTGCTACTGCGAAACGTACAGACCAAGTACAACACCACCAATCTCTTCATCCTGAATCTGGGGGTTGCAGATCTTTGCTTCATATTGCTCTGTGTACCATTCCAGGCCACCATATACACTCTGGACGGATGGCTGTTTGGGGCTTTCCTCTGCAAAGCTGTTCACTTCTCCATCTACCTATCCATGTATGCAAGCAGCTTCACCCTGGCTGCCGTCTCAGTGGACAGGTAAAAAAAACAAAGAGGGCAGATCAGACAGAGGCTTATTTACTAAACTCTGAATTGCAGCAAATGGAAATCTGAATTACAGAATTTAGGGTAAAATTGATGATCTGGAAACATTCTGCAACTCAGTTATTGTCACTGTGTGGCTATTTTGAACCAAATTTGTAATTAATATTTAAAATGACTATAATTCAGGGTTTAGTGAAGAAGACTCTCAGCCTTAAACTCACACTCTATTCTCTGTATTGATTGTTAATGGCAATCTAATTTTCTTATATCGATTTTTGCTTTATTTTTCTCTGTACCCCAATGTTAAGTTAATCGGTTTCCTTAAAACCAGTCCAGACTCATCATCTTCAATTCTCTTTTGCAGATATGATTCTGAGTGTGTATGCCTCTCTATCTAGCTTGTAAGCTTTCATCTTTTTTTTTATTACCAATACAATTGTAATTTCATCTCTTCAATACAGGACATTCTCTCTTTTTATCACTAACTCTTTCATTTTACCTGTAATGTAAAATATGATGGCATCTTTTGTATGTATTTCCTATCATCAATATATTATTATATCCCCAAATCTTTCCTTCCCATTAAGAAAACTGCAGTCTGAAAATCAGCAGGTATAGAATAGCCAGGGCATTCCATAATAAAGACTATCTTGGGATCTATTAGACATTTATTGTTGCTGATATTGTTACAAATGATTCTCACTTTATATTTCTTTCAGGATTGTTAACTAAACTCAGAATTTTAATGAATTAAATCCTAATAACAAAATTGAGCCAAAATAGCATTTTTGGAAACAAAAACCCTGTATAATTCATCTATCATTACAGCTGATATATTTAACTCTCAGTCTTGCCTTTCAAATTTAATTTGCTAAAGTTCAGTGTAGTGAATTTTTCTGTCACTATATCTTTGTTGTGATTCCTTAAGCTCATTGATACTTTTATTTTATTTTATTTTTTACCATTGTTTGACTAATCTTCTTTGAATTACATATTATGCCATTTCCTGCTTGATAAAACCGCTACAATCTTTTTTACATTATTTCCATGCTATTTTTGATGATTGTCCTCTCATCTATCTTCTCTATACTTTCTCTTCTCAAATCTGTTTCTCAGATTCAGTGCATTTCTCTGCAGAGTTTATTAAGTAATCAGTTCCTTTGTACCATTCCTCATCAGGAGACAACTTGACCTTAGAAGATGTGTTGTATTCCACAAGTTGCTGCATCTCCCATTATTTTTATCAATCTTCATTTAGTCTAGTCTCACTTGATATTTCTATTTGTCTATAATTTTCCTGCTCAATATTCCTGCCGTGTGATGTACATGCCATAGTGATGTAAGATCAGACGATGAAGGATGGTTGGCCCACTGTCGTGAGCTAGACATGTTAAACATACAAATTATTTTGTAAAAAGAATGGTTCAACCTGTATTTATATTACAACATTAACATTACATTTGGGGATTAACCAATGACACTTTGTGGCATATTTTATTTATTTATTATTTCCTAATGGGGCACTATAGGCACCCAGACCACTTCAATGAGTTGAAGTGGTCTGGGTGCATAGTCCCAGGACCGTTAACCCTGCAAAGGTAATTATTGAAATTTTTAAGGGTTAACATCACTTCTAGTGGCTGTAAGTATTTACACCACCACCACTGGTCCAGAAATGATGGATTTACAATGGTGGTTTAGGATATAGAAATTACCATCAGTGGTCCATGATTTAGGAATTACCAGGAGTGGTCCACAATTTAGGGATTGTCACTAGTGGCCACAATATAGCGATTACACCAGTGGTCTAGAATATAGGAATTATAATCAGTGGTCCAAGATTTAGGTACATACAAAACAATAGGCGGAGCCGCTTTAAACCTTGAATGATCTGTAAAACACAATGGTATATATACAAAATAGCGTAGTATGTCTATTCAAATAGTGTAAGATAAGAAGAGTAAGTAGTAGTTTCACTCACAAAATTAGAGTCATACCATCATATGACTCTCTTAGTATGCTTCCTTGGACCATTCAGGGGTTGTCCAGACCCTTTTGCAGCCGGATTCTTGGTATTTCCCCTTTGTACTCTTTTAGTCGGTATTCCCAATAAGGCTGTAGAGTTTCCAAATGGTCCTTTTTAGAAAATGATTTTATTCATATAAAAATATAACATATACCAGAAACAACTGGTTAAAAGTAAAATTAACAAAAGACTACTAAAAGTAAAAGTCCCTTTAAAATGTCCTTAGTTAAAAAAATGGAATCCAAAACGCGTTTCGCCTATTGCTCAGGCTTCCTCAGTTGGATGTAGGGATAACCACTAGTTGTCCAGGAGTTATGGATTACCACAGTGTTAAACAATTTAGGGATTCCCTTTAATGGCCCAGGATTTAGGAATTACCCCCAGTGGTCCAGGATTTATGGATTACCATCAGTGGTCCACAATTTAAGGATTGTAACCAGTGGTCCATGATTTATGGATTACCACCAGTGGTCCAGGATTTAGGGATTCCCACTAGTGGTCCATGATTCATGAATTACCACCAGTGGTACAGGATTTAGGGATTCTCACTAGTGGTCCATGATTTAGGTATTCCCACTAGTGATCCAGGATTTAGGAATTACCACCAGTGGTCCAGGATTTAGGAATTATTGTCAGGGGTTCAGGATTTAGTGGTTACTGCCATAAATAACCCATGATTCAGGGATTACCACAAATGGTCCATGTTTTAGGGGGTAATCACTAAGGATCCAATATGTAAAAATTACCACCAGTCGTCCTTAATTTAGGAATTAGTGCAAATGGCCCAGGATTTAGGAATTACTGTTTAGGGAATTTAGAGAATACCCAATTATTTTCTAATAATCAGGTAAACTGGTGGCCCTCAAGTCCTCTGGTTTGAGAAACACTCTTGCAGAGAACTTTGCAGTGTGTCATCTGTGTCATTTGGATGAATACAAAAGGCAAAAGAAATGGTGTGGTGTGCTACAATTACATGTGTGAGCATCAGCAATGAGATAATATCCATACACTGGTTATCGGTCTCCCAAAATATACTGGTAGTACTCCAGTTAGGAAATGATATTCCAGCTTTTAATCACTTTAAAAACAAACATTAAACCAGGGTGTCTGAGTGATTGTGTATGTCTGGCTGTCAGTGTGTGTATGTCTGTCAGTGTGTGTGTGTGTCTGAGTGTGTGTGTATGTCAGTGTGTGTCTGAGTAATTTTGTGTGTCTTGCTGTCAGTGTGTGCATGTCAGTGTGTGTCTGAGTGATTGTGTGTGTCTGTCTGTCAGTGTGTGTCTGAGTGATTGTCTGTGTCTGGCTGTCAGTGTGTGTATGTTAGTGTGTGTCTGAGTAATTGTGTGTCTTGCTGTCAGTGTGTGTGTGATTGTGTGTGTCTGGCTGTCAGTGTGTATCTGAGTGATTGTGTGTGTATGTCTGTCACTGTGTGGCTGTCTGTCAGTGATTGTGTGTGTCTGGCTGTCAGTGTGTGTAAGTCAGTGTGTGTCTGAGTAATTCTGTGTGTCTCGCTGTCAGTGTGTATATGTCAGTGTTTGAGTGATTGTGTGTGTCTGGCTGTCAGTGTGTGTATGTCTGTCAGTGTGTATCTGAGTGATTGTGTGTATGTCTGTCACTGTGTGGCTGTCTGTCAGTGAGAGAGTGTGTGTGTCTGTCAGTGAATGTGTTTGTTTCTGAGTGATTGTGTCCATGAGGGAGCCTGTGTGTCTGAGTGATTGTGTGTGTGTGTTTCTGTCTGTCAGTGTGTGTCTGTGAGTGAGTGTGAGTGTCTGTCAGTGAATGTGTGTCTGCGTCATTGTGTGTATGTCAGTGAGTCAGTGATTGTTTGTGTCAAATCAGTGTGTGAATGTCAGTGTATCTGAGTGTGTCTGTCTGTCAAAGTGTGTGTTAGTCGTTTAACAGGAAGAGGTGTGGCATTGATAGGAAGGGCTGGGGCAAATATAAATTAGGGAGTGCCCAAGTTCCGTCATGCCTAGGGCAGCACAGATACTAAATACATCACTGCATAAAACAAAACAGTGTAAAACTGTTAGATACAATGATAAAAGATAAGGTAATTTGGATGAATGCAATCATAATGTCATTCCTGTAACAAGGCAAAGAGTTCAGACCACATCTGTTCATTCATCTTGTCACCTTAAAGGACCATTGCACTTATAGTGGCTCTGTCACCAAAAATAAACTTCATCTAAACTGTTTCTATATAGCTCCCTGTGTCTTAACCTATTTTTATTAATTTTCTGAGCTCTATAGTTTTCATTACATACATAAATAAAAGTTGGAAATACATTTCTTCATGCATAGCAGTCAGGTTGACAAAACTTGACAATGGGAGGAGCATAAAAAAAAGGTTTTGTTTCAGTTGCCAATCAAATTTACCCACAATCCATCGCTACAATCAATACTACAGAAGGGAAACTGCAAACTTTATGGGCAAAGTAGAACAAAATGTCTGCCCCCAGGTACTGAAATGCAGCACAAGGAAGAAAATATAATATATATAAACAAAGGCAAGTGGCAAGGGGTTAAATATAATCCTTGAAATGCAGGGGGCAAAAAGTATGAAAAAAACAAATAAAATAAAATGACAGATCCGCTTTAAGGATTGTGCTGGGCATTTCTATTTTTTTTTAAATTTTTTAATTTTTTTTGCATGTATGTTCTTTATATAGCTAACTGTAGGGTTTACTCAGTAAAAAAAACAAAACTATTCATAATGAATTTAAAACTTAATGGCAAAATTTAGGCTATAATATATAAAAAAAAGTAATTGCACAGGTATATTATGTGAGATGTACGGTTTAATTTTCAATTCATCACAATTTAATGTTTAGTGAAGAAAACCCAATGGTTTCCTGCAGGACGTGGAGTCGTATTTGGCATATGAGATTCTGATGTATAGCCATATCTCTCTATAAATGCTCTCAGCATTCTTTAGCCTTGTAGGTGTCTCTCTCTTGGCTCAATTCTATGAGCCTGATAAAACAAGTACTTCTGCCCAAGAGAATTCTGTCCGCATTCAATTCCCTGCACCAGTGACTGATTTTCACATGGAGAAACACAGTATAAATGATGCACACATACACGTCAAGTTTATTTCATTTAAAGAGCTGGATCTCTGTCACTGGCATTTAAATACCATAAGATCACATAAGCATAAAGAGGAACTATAATGAAACATTTACTTTTCATATATAAAAACATCATTTCCCTGTTTTGCTGGTTTTGAAAGGGATTTCGCAGCCAGTCTTTAGTTTGTTATGTAAACCAATAGGAATTTTATAGTCATGCATAGCATGCATAGTGCACCCATGACCTGAACTTTTCATTCATCAAAATGACTCACTGAATAAAGCAAAAGAATGGACGCGAGTAGCATTATCATGCATGAAAGGCACAAGTATTTGGAGCACGGCATTATGAGATTATGTTTGGCTAAGTGTAGGGGATGGAGCTATTGTTAGAACTAGTTAGTTGTTTGTGTTACATCATCTGGTAAGTTTAACTGGGATTTGTTATGTTTGCCATGATGAGGTTTGTTGTGCATTTAAGTTGTAAACATGCCCAGAGTGTCCCTATATTTCATTTCTCCTAGTTTGAGAGATTAAGCATGTTTGAATTATTGAGACATGTTAGTGACCTTACATAATTAAACTGCTGTCATATGTAACAACAGCAGTCTGAGAACCAACTGCCATAGAATAGCTACTCAAGGCTATTGGAATACATTTATCAAATTGTTCCAATAAGGGACACACCTGTTTTAGGAGATATGATTGCCCTGTTTTCAAAGTCTTCATTTATTGCTTATTTTTTATCAATGCTTTTGTTGGGCTTTTGGTGCCCATTTTGCACTAGGATTATATCCTTTAGCAATAAATTACCCTATATGCTGCAGTACTTAGGTCCAGCTGGTCATGCAGCCTAGTAAATGTTCCAAGAGTGTCTGAGCAGGATTCTGGTGGATCCTTCCAGTGCCAGGCCTCACCACCATAGGCACAGTTGCTATGCTGGTTGACAACTTTTCACCCGGCAGAGTTTAAACATCCTGTTATGAGGCTTAGCACAGAAGGAACATGGACTCTACCAGGACCACAATCTAGAGCACAGGAAGTGACGGGATTCTCATATGGTGAAAGGCTAGGAAAGATAGGTATATGCATATGTTGGAGTGTGATAAGAAACATTGGAATGGGAGGGACATATGGAGAGAAATGAGGCGGTTAGGAGAGATACAAGATGGTGGTTATTGATCGATACATTGGGAGAACAGGGACAGTTATAGGAGAGCAAAGGAGTGAGGAGAAACACAAGATTAAAAATTGATGTCAAGAAGCACAGGAGTGGGGGATATAGAAAAAGACCTAGGGAGAAGAAACACAGGAATAATGGAATGGAGTAAGACATGGGAGGATATGAGAAACAAAGGAGTGGAATAGTGGTGTGGAATGTTGCTGAGAGGCTAAGCAACTGCATTAAGATTTGGGGTATTTTTGAAAAAAAAATAGAGAAAAGCCCCATTCACTGGTTATAGATGCCTCAGACATGCATAGTCTGCTCTTACAAGATTTATCATAATACCCACTGGTTTTGCATTGGGTCATCATGTCCTGGATGCCCTAAAACACAGGCCTGTCATTGGGGAACAGCATCGAAGGATGGAGGCTGAATCTTTGAAGTAGTTGTTTTTTCCTCAAATACATCTATCTATATCAGTTGCAGATGGTGAAGTTTAAATATGGTGTGCTACAAGACTCTACTGACAGAATTTGACTTTGCCCTTTGACTTGTTGGACTCTTCCCACTTCACCCCATATACTCAACAACTGAATCAACTAGACATCATTCCCTCTACAACACTATAAATTTACAGTTCAAAGTATTTGGGAAACTACAACCATTTTAAAGAGGTTTAACTTCACTCACTGATAGTGTTACCCAAAGAAAGTACTAAAAGACAGAAGACAATAATCAGGTGGAACTAAACTGCAGAACTAATCGGGATGGAAACATCATAATTGTAGCGGAACGCCAATAATAAATCCACGAATTCCGCTGGTCCAGAAACGAATCCACAGTCAAGCGCTGAAAACAACAAGACAATATCCCCAACTTCCCAATAACCGGACGAGACACAGTTTTGGGAGTCAACTGAAATCCTTTTAATCGGCAAGGCAATTTATACAAGTCCCCATGCAAGGGGTTTGCTGAGTCCCTCCCCAGGGGCACTCCCAGAGGGGACTACATGGGGGACTTACAGTACAACATATTTCTCCCATCAGGCACCGCTGCACGAGAGGGATCATCCTCCCAGAATGCACCGTTAAGGGGATTATCCCCTCGTGCAGCAGAACCGGCAATTCACACAAAAATCTATAACTTTTAAAATACACGGTGGATTTACACGAATGGACGTTCGGTAGATAGCTGGGGTCTGGGCGCATCATTCGTGAGATTGCCGCTCAGATCCCAGCTAAAATAACCGAACGCCGCACAGAAAACACATTTCTTTCAAAACATACGAAAAGAACCGATTACTTTTAGTGAACACGGTCCTGAAATTCCCGAACGTCCTGGATGCTCAGCGGTGTTCGTGCCGTCGAATAGCTATTGGTAATACTATGCGTTCGACAACACGGACCCGCTGAGGAACAAAGGATCCAAGATGGCCGACCGCCGCATGGTCGGTAGTCGAACGACGGCCACCCAGGAGAGCCTCTAATAACCGATTGCAACAATGTTGCAATCGGTTAACTAGCGCCACACGCCTCTAAGTGTGTGGGCTATCAGGGGGTATTGCGTTCGGTTCACGAACGGCTTTCTAAAGTGCCGTTCGTGAAACGAAAGAAAATCCCCATACAAAACCGCCATTTGCATTCGACTGAAACAGCAGTACAGGCAATACAGAAAATACATGAACATTTACATAAGTGTGAAGCGCGTATCTCGCCCGACCTATTGGCAACCCTTAAAGGCACAGTCTCTAGTTCTTGTCCAAGTGGCTAGGTTTGCCACAATGCTCCCCCAGAACCAAGCCGGCATACACAGTCTGATCCCAACGGATCGGCTTGGGGATGTCCGGAGGAGTGCTCACAGATCATTTCTCAAGGTCTGTTTGTCTGGACAACCCGTCGGCATTACCGTTTTGTTTCCCTGGGAGGTAGTGGATTGTAAAGTCAAAGGGCTGCAGCGCCAAACTCCAGCGCAGCAGCCTGGCATTGTCTCCAGCCACACGGTTTAGCCACACCAACGGGTTGTGATCTGTGAGCAAAGAAAAGGGTTGCCCATAGAGATACGGCTGTAACTTTTTCAGGGCCCACACCACGGCCAGGCATTCCTTTTCTATGGCGGCGTAGCTCACCTCTCGGGGTAACAGTTTCCGACTCAAGTATGCTACGGGGTGTTCTCCGCCATCGGCTCCGACCTGGCTCAGTACTGCTCCCAATCCAAACATTGAGGCGTCTGTGTGAACAAGAAAACGTTTAGTTGGATCAGGAGCAGCCAGTACAGGGGCATTGGTCAGAGCCGTCTTCAGCTGATTGAATGCCTGTTCACACTCTGGGGCCCAGACGACCTGCCGGGGCAGGTTTTTCTTCGTCAAATCAGTCAGGGGTTTGGCCAGGGCACTGTAGTTGGGCACAAATTTTCTGTAATACCCTACGGTACCTAGGAAAGCCAGGACTTGGGTTTTGGTCCTAGGGGTAGGCCACTGGGCTACAGCTTCAATCTTTGCGGGCTCAGGCTTCTGCTGCCCGCTACCCACCCGGTGTCCTAAGTACTGGACCTCTGCCATCCCTATGTGGCATTTGCTGGGTTTCAAGGTAAGCCCTGCCTCTCGGATCCGATCTATTACCGCCCCTATGTGTTGTAGGTGCTCCGACCAGGTCTGACTGTAGATGGCAATATCGTCCAGATATGCACACGCATAGTCCTGGAACCCGTCCAGTAGCCGATCCACCATCCGCTGGAATGTCGCGGGGGCGTTCTTCATCCCGAATGGCATGACTCGAAATTGGTACAAGCCAAACGGGGTGACAAACGCCGACTTAGGGATGGCGTCCTCGGCTAGTGGAATTTGCCAGTATCCCTTACACAAATCTATGGTAGTGAGATACTGACCCCTGGCCATCCTATCAAGCAGTTCATCTATCCGAGGCATCGGGTAGGCGTCCGACACAGTTTTGTCGTTCAACCTCCGGTAGTCCACGCAGAACCTGGTGGTACCATCTTTCTTGGGAACCAGGGGCTATCTGAGTGTTCAATAACCCCCAACTGCAACATCTCTTCGATTTCTTTCCTCATATGTTCCCGCACGGATTCAGGAATCCGATAGGGAGTCTGTCGCATGGGAAGCTGTCCCGGGGTTTCTACTCGGTGGGTGGCTAGTGGAGTGTACCCAGGTAGGTTAGAAAAGGCGGCGCCCTTGGTTGCTATCAGTTCTTGTACCTGGATACGCTCTTGAGGACTTAGCCGCTCCCCCAGTTGAACCCCCTGGGAGGGTTCCTTCTGCTCCTCCTGCTCTAACAGATCTGGAAGGGGCAGGTTCTCCTGATCTTCGGAGGCGGGCGTGCAAATAGCTGCCACGTCCTCCGTCCGCTCGTGGTAGGGTTTGAGCATGTTCACATGGAGCATGCGTCTCTTCCCTACTCCGGAGCATGGGCCGATCACATAGGTGGTATCGCATCTCTGCTCTACCACCTGGTATGGGCCCTGCCAGACGGCCTGCAGTTTATCGGTGCGGACAGGTTTAAGGATTAGCACCTTCTGTCCCACTTGAAAACTACGGTCTCTGGCCCCTCTGTCATACCAACGACGCTGTCGTTGCTGGGCGGCCTGGAGGTTGGTGCGCACTGCCTGGGTCAATTCCTCCAGGCGATCCCGGAACGCCAGCACGTATGGTACAATAGGGGTCCCATCTGCGCTACTCTCTCCCTCCCAATGCTCTCTAATGAGATCCAACGGCCCCCGGACCCTTCTCCCAAACAATAGTTCAAATGGGGAGAAACCCATGGACTCTTGGGGCACCTCTCTGTATGCAAACAACAGATGGGGAAGGAATCGTTCCCAGTCCTTATGGGTCTCTCCGAATGTCCGGAGCATCTGTTTTAGGGTACCGTTGAATCTCTCACATAATCCGTTGGATTGCGGGTGGTAAGCGGAGTTAATGATCGGCTTAATGCCGCATATCTTCCATAGCTGCTGAGTAACCTCAGCCGTGAATTGGGTCCCCCTATCGGAGACCATTTCCTGTGGGAACCCTACTCGGGAGAATATCTTCATCAAGGCTTCGGCTACGGTCTCAGCGTGTATATTAGTTAGGGCAATCGCCTCGGGGTACCGGGTGGCGTAATCCACCACAGTCAGGATATACCGTTTCCCAGAAGGGCTGGGTTTTGGTAGTGGCCCTACTATATCCACGGCTACACGGCTGAATGGTTCCTCAATTATAGGTAGGGGACACAGTTTTGCCTTGTGGCGATCCCCCCTTTTGCCTACCCTCTGGCACACATCACAGGAGGTACAATATTGCCTCACGTCTTTAGAAATCCCGGGCCAAAAGAATGCGTGCGTTAAGCGATACCGGGTCCGGGTCATCCCTAGATGGCCGGACAGAGGGATATCATGGGCGATTCTTAGTAACTCCTGCCTATACTTCTGGGGCACTACTAGCTGCTTGGTTTGGAGCGTCACAGAGTTGCCTATTGCCCTTTCCGCCACCCGGTATAGTAACTTCTTCTCCCACCTGTACTGTTCTCCCTCCCGCCCCACCTGGTCCGTATCTACCCTATCTCGGTATACCTGCAGTGTGGGGTCTGTCTGCACCTCTACTTCAAACGTGGACGGGGTGTCCCAAGTCATGTCTGTCAAGGGGGGGTCATGATTTCTTACCTGAGCCTCAGAGTGTGCGGGGAATGCCGTGGTGCGAGCCTGTTGCCGGGTGGTTACCGGATGCGCCTCTTGTGACGGGGCCTGGGGTAGAAAAGCAGAAGTCATCTGGCCCAAGTCATTCCCCAAAACAACATCGGCCGGTAGCTTTTTCATTATGGCCACTTCCACAACCCCCTCCCCAGCACCCCAATTCAAATGCACTTTGGCCGTGGGTAACCGGTACATGGCTCCCCCTGCTACCCGGACTGCCACTGATCCGCCAGTGTGGGCCGTATCTGGAATTAAATGGGGGGCCACTAAGGTCAAGGTGGCTCCTGAGTCCCGCAGCCCCTGCACTTCTTTCCCTCCCACAAACACAACTTGGCGGTGATGCTGCCGGTTGTCCGTGGCTTGCACAGACATCACCTTGTACAGAACCCCCAATGGTTCCTCGGTTGGTAGACTTGTCAGCTCCGAGTGGTCAGGTTCTGCGTGGTAGAAATGGGCCGCCGCCCTGGGAACGGAATTCTGCCGTACCTGGTTCCACGCCTGCCTGCTACGATTCTGGGTGCACTCCCGGGACATATGCCCCCACTGCCGGCAGGTATGGCATTGTATGTTGGCCCTGCCATTGTAGCGGGCTGGCGGTGGGGGGTTTCCTGGTGGTGGCCTGAATGGGGTAGAGTTGGCGGGTGTGGAGCTGGCTGGGTTGTGTTGTATTGGCGGTCTTAGGGGACCCCTGTTGGTGAGCCCATGGTGTCTCCGGGCATCAAAGTGTTCGTCTGCCAATCGGGCGGCTGAGTGAGAGGTTTTCTGTCCCTTACCCACTCCTGTGCCTCTGGTGACAGGCCGTTGAAGAATTGCTCCAGCAAGATGAGTTGGCGCAGTTCCTCCATGGTGGTGGCTTGACTTGCCTGAATCCACCCTTGCGAAGCTTGGTCCAGCTTATGCGCCCATTCTGCGTGGGAATCTCTTTCGGGCTTTTTCAATCCCCGAAATTTCCGTCGGTATGCCTCTGGGGTTATGGCATATCTTTCTAGGATTGCTCTTTTTACTTTAAAATAGTCTTTGCTGTCCTCTCTGGGCACAGCGCGGTAAGCCTCTGCTGCTCGTCCCGCCAACTTGCCTGCCAGTAGGGGTACCCACATTGCCGGTTCCAGATCGTGCAGGTCGCATAGCCTCTCGAAATCCTGCAGATATCCGTCTATCTCATCCTTCTCCTCGCAGAATGCTTTAAATGCCTGGTACGGTATTTTCTGCTTCGTTGGAGGGCAGAATGGGTTGCTGATGGATTCTGCCCTGGATGGTGACCTCTGGTGTTGCTGTGCCATAATGTAGTCCTGGACGTCGGCCATTAGCACGGTTAAGATGTCCAGGGTTACTGGCTGTGGTACAAATTCCAGCCGGGTTCTCAGTTCCCTCTGGTATGGTGTTTCCTCTCTAGCAGGTGGGGGCGGACTGCTGTGTGCTTGGTCGCCCTCCATTAGCTCTGCAATCAGTACTGCCTTCGATTTGTTGCTAGCGCTTTTCCCTCTAGCCTCCAGCAGCTCCTTTAGCGTCTGTCTCTTTAACGCCGTGTAATCAGTCCCCATTCACTGATCGCTTTCGTCTGCTTGTTTCATACGAATTGCCTTTCCGTTCGGTTGTTCATTTCATTCGAATGCGCTGTATTCGGCTGTAGAGTTGGATCCCGTCGCTTGCCACCAATTGTAGCGGAACGCCAATAATAAATCCACGAATTCCGCTGGTCCAGAAACGAATCCACAGTCAAGCGCTGAAAACAACAAGGCAATATCCCCAACTTCCCAATAACCGGACGAGACACAGTTTTGGGAGTCAACTGAAATCCTTTTAATCGGCAAGGCAATATATACAAGTCCCCATGCAAGGGGTTTCCTGAGACCCTCCCCAGGGGCACTCCCAGAGGGGACTACATGGGGGACTTACAGTACAACATATTTCTCCCATCAGGCACCGCTGCACGAGAGGGATCATCCTCCCAGAATGCACCGTTAAGGGGATTATCCCCTCGTGCAGCAGAACCGGCAATTCACACAAAAATCTATAACTTTTAAAATACACGGTGGATTTACACGAATGGACGTTCGGTAGATAGCTGGGGTCTGGGCGCATCATTCGTGAGATTGCCGCTCAGATCCCAGCTAAAATAACCGAACGCCGCACAGAAAACACATTTCTTTCAAAACATACGAAAAGAACCGATTACTTTTAGTGAACACGGTCCTGAAACTCCCGAACGTCCTGGAGGCTCAGCGGTGTTCGTGCCGTCGAATAGCTATTGGTAATACTATGCGTTCGACAACACGGACCCGCTGAGGAACAAAGGATCCAAGATGGCCGACCGCCGCATGGTCGGTAGTCGAACGACGGCCACCCAGGAGAGCCTCTAATAACCGATTGCAACAATGTTGCAATCGGTTAACTAGCGCCACACGCCTCTAAGTGTGTGGGCTATCAGGGGGTATTGCGTTCGGTTCACGAACGGCTTTCTAAAGTGCCGTTCGTGAAACGAAAGAAAATCCCCATACAAAACCGCCATTTGCATTCGACTGAAACAGCAGTACAGGCAATACAAAAAATACATGAACATTTACATAAGTGTGAAGCGCGTATCTCGCCCGACCTATTGGCAACCCTTAAAGGCACAGTCTCTAGTTCTTGTCCAAGTGGCTAGGTTTGCCACAATAATTTATTCATATATTCTGGAAAAGGATACAAATATTTAAATCTGTTCAGCTTCTGTTTGGAGGCATCCCTGCAGCAAAGTGTGAATAGTTTAACACCTCATACAAAATATTTTCTACAAAAGCAAAAGGATTGAGAACTAATTACAAGAAGAGCCCTAGCTAATGAAAATATTGGAATGAGACAAGCTTGATATGGTAATTAAACATGATACACTCATAAACATGCAGAAATGGTTTGCCCATTTAGAAATACACACACAAAATGTCTTCTATATTCTAATATATCTCAGAATCTGTCTTGACCATAAATAGATAAGCTGGTGTTGGTGAACAGATAGGGAAGTGAAAGTGATGTATTGAATATATGTCTTGCTTGTTGAGATGGCAGCTGATCAGGGGCTAATAGGAAAGACAGAAACAAGGGAGAAAGGAATACATCTCTCACATATATTGTCTATGTACCACTGTAATGAGTTTTTAGATGGCGTATTGCTTCATCAGAAGACACTGTATGTTCGTCATTCACTGGGCACGTGGTAAATAAATTTCTTGTTGTTGTGTTCCAGATTGCCTGCAGGGAGGTAAATTTGCAATCTCATCTACAGAGCATTGTTATAGAAGACCAACCATAAAAATGCCAGTGATTTGCTTACTGGGTTATTATTCATACCACCGATATAGCAGCATTTACTAAAGTGGGAATTAAGAAGATTTAACAAGTAAATTGGCAATTTTAGGCTAGGAAAGTAACGGAGACGTAGAATCTTTCTACATTTTTTATCCACTTCATTTTTCTTGATTACCGCGATCTAGAGTTTTAGAGTTAGCTTTTTGCCCATGATCACACCCAGATTTACCACGTCAATTAGCTTTTCAATAATGCTTCCACTGCTCACTTTAAAACAGTACAAGGATCACACCAATCAAGTCAAGGATGACATGGAGATGGAGCCAAAAAACATGTCCCTTTATTATTAATATAGGTATTGGCCAGTCATTGTTTCTTAAAGAGTGAGGCATTTGTGGCAAGCTTCGTGTTAACCACAATATCTGAAATTGCCAAAACCAGCACTACATGTATAATTACACACAAAATTAAGGCTGCAACTTTAGAGACTACTAAAGTCTAAGCATCCAGCCTAATACAACTAATAATGTAATATCATTTATGGGATTTGAACAGCCCGATAAACAGTAGTCTACATTCCAAGATACAAATGACCAGTACTGATGTTGCCATAATGTTCTTGTTATTTTATTCATTCCATTTACATATAGTGTTTTATCCACAGCTTTTAAAGTGGTTAAAAACAACTTAGGACCTACAGCTTTTTCCTGTAGAGTGGATGAGATACGAGTTGTGGAGGAGTTATCTACTGAGGCCTGAAACTCTGGTGTGGTATATCTGGAGTTAGATAGATTCTCAGGGTTATCTACTAAAGTGAGAATTGTCTAGAAGTCAAAGTGTATTTGATCTTTAAGGATAAAATAGCTGAACTGGAAACATAGCTAACTTGGAGAGTTTTTCCAGTTCCCTTATTTAGATTATAAGCTTGTTTGGACGACACCTACTGTTCCCATATATAACACATTTTTGCTAGAATTAAACGTTTATCTTGTTTACATATTGTACAGTGCTGCAGAATATGTTGGTGCTACAAAAATAATTATTATTATGTCCTTAAATGTTAAACTGAATTTACTTTGGATTCCCCACAATTCTCACTTTAGGGATTAACACTGTAAATGTCTAGGGCTGGAAGAACGGTAGATGTAGGAATTCCATTAATGTTAAATATGGATTCTCAAACATCTGCTTCTGTCACTTTAAGCGTAAGAATCCTGCAAGGAATTTGAAATACAGTACAGCCTGCCGATTTATATAATAGGGATTTTAAATGTGGCACAAAAAAAGCAACATAGTTTAGGGGATTGGGAATAGATTTTGCCTGGTCAAAGACATGGCACCTTTAGTACTATGTTTTCAGACCTTGGGATGTCTGATATTATAGCTAAAATAATTATTTAAACTAAAAAGACATGTCCAGCTTTGTCTATTAGAAAATAAACAACTGCAATCTGTCCAGAATATATTTGATGATATAAGTAAAATAAGACATGCTAATGTCAATGGACAACAACATATTAACATTGTCCAAACGTTAAAGGACCACTATAGTGCCAGGAAAACAAACTTGTTTTTCTGGCTCTATAAGGTCTTTGGGTCCCCCCCACCCACTGGGTCCCAATTCCGCCGAGCTGAAGGGGGAGGAAGGGGTTAAATTCTTACCTTTCTCCAGCGCCGGGCTCCCTGGGCGCTGGGGACTTTCCTCCCTCTTCCGACGTCCTCCACTGAATGTGCATGCGCAGCAAGAGCCGCCCGCGCATTGTCAGTCCATAGGAAAGCATTTCTCAATGCTTTCCTATGGATGCTGGCGTCTTCTCACAGTGAAAATCACAGTGAGAAGCGCAGAAGCGGCCTCTAGTGGCTGTCAATGAGACAGCGACTGGAGGCTGGATTAACCCTGATGAAAACATAGCAATGTCTCTGAAACTGCTGTTTACAGCTGCCGGGTTAACCCTAGATGGACCTGGCACCCAGACCACTTCATTGAATTGTCATGTATTTATTTCTTCACATTCTACTTTTAGGGTCCTTTATCGTTTCTATATATTACATAGGACACTTTCTATCATTATATTTGTTCTGTTTTAACAGTATCTATAACTGTTTGGTATGGGCTTTGTCCCAGCTGGTATAGTCACACTCTGGCATAGGGATGGACTTGACGTTGTTTGGCCATATGAAGTGACCAAATCCCTGCATTCTTACTTGAGAAAGGCAATTTGTAAGTAGTCTTAGAAGATTTGAAGCTGTAGAAGATTTTGTGGAAGCTGTTCCCTTTTTGTAATTATGTCCTAGCTGGTGTCAGGCGATGGGATCAGTAACAGGATTATCCTCTAGATCGGAATGCAAACACATGGATTTCTGTACTAATGGGGAGGGTTGCAATCATGCCACGAGGTTGAGGCGAGCATACTCATTCTAATATGTTTATAATTAGGTGGACAGGATTTCCGAAATACCTTCCCTCTAAGGTTAAACTTTGTTTGCGGTTAAAGGACCACTCTAGGCACCCAGACCACTTCAGCTTAATGAAGTGGTCTGGGTGCCAGGTCCTTCTAGGGTGAACCCATTCTTTTATAAACATAGCAGTTTCAGAGAAACTGCTATGTTTATGAATGGGTTAAGCCTTCCCCTAAATCCTCTAGTGGCTGTCTCATTGACAGCCGCTAGAGGCGCTTGCGTGCTTCTCACTGTGAAAATCACAGTGAGAACACGCAAGCGTCCATAGGAAAGCATTGATAATGCTTTCCTATGCGACCGGCTGAATGCGCGCGCAGTTCTTGCCGCGCGTGCGCATTCAGCTGACGGGGAGGAGAGGAGGAGGATCGGAGGAGGAGAGCTCCCCACCCAGCACTGGAAAAAGGTAAGTTTTTACCCCTTTCCCCCTTCCAGAGCCAGGCAGGAGGGGGTCCCTGAGGGTGGGGGCACCCTCAGGGCACTATAGTGCCAGGAAAACAAGTTTGTTTTCCTGGCACTATAGTGGTCCTTTAATAACATTATACCAAGAGAATTAAATCTACCAGGACATCACATATTTAAAAGATTGTAAATTAAATTTATCTAGATAGGGCAGAAATGTCTTTGTATAAAGATAAAGTAAAAAAAAGAAAATTCTTCACCAAATGGTCCCCTCTCATTCCTTACCTACTTTGCACTATTCACTATAGGCTCCAACCCACCTTTCAACTATACAAATTCTTTGTAGGTGGCACTCATGTGGTAATGATAGCAGATGAGCAAAGTTGCCCAAATGGGTGAGGGAAAACAGATTGAATTTACATTTCTCCTTCATTTCATTTGATCTGTTATACACGCATATTTCAAATACATAACTCCCAAGTGTTCCTATTTTGGAAGGAAAGGAAAAAATCTCAGGCACTCACTCTGATCCGTTAAGCAGCTTTAATGGATCAGCAATGTATTTTGGAAGGACATTTTCGATTTTGGGCCCATATCCCTTTGTTCCTTTTTTCAATCCGAACATCCCTCTTTTCTAGGAGCTCCATGTTGTTGATGGGGCTGATGGTATATTTGAGTCCCATAGGAATAACACTCACAGTAATGTGTTTTAACTACAATAAATGAGTTTAGAAAGTAGTCTTTGTAAGATATATAGTTCTTCTTCTACATTACACTTTTATTGCTAATTTACCTTAATTTTCTCAGAATACCTACATCCGTAAAATTATTGTGTCCCTCATTGTCCATTTAAAATGTTGGGAGGTATACACGTTTCACCTTTATATATATGTACTTAATATGTATCACTATGTGCTTTATTTTTGCTGTGTCTTTTTTCCTGTCTTCAACGAAAATTATTTAACAAAGAAGATTATTACGGACAGTGTACCTATATGACTTAATAAGACAGGACAATTATAACAAATTTTTTTTATAAACTACCTTATGAATTATTCATAACCAATGCAAGAGTACTGTGGCAAAATGTCAGAAGTAGTACAAACATAATGCTAGTTGTGGGCACATTGTAACTTTGCAAACAATCATTTAAAAAAATAATGTTTTTTTAGGAACTGTGTTGATAAACAGTTTATATGTGACCTCTGTATACCCATAGGTATCTTGCAATCCGTTACCCTCTGAAGTCCAGAGATCTTCGTACATCTCGGAATGCCTTGGCTGCAATTGGAGTCATATGGGCCCTATCAATCTTGTTTGCAGGCCCTTATCTTAGCTATTATCATATAATCCTCTACAATCAAGTGCCCATCTGCATCCCTAATTGGGAGGACAGGAGGAGAAAGATCATGGATGTCTCCACCTTTGTCTTTGGGTATCTTCTTCCTGTGCTCATCCTTGGACTATCTTATGCGAGAACCATCTGCTTCTTGTGGACATCTGTAGACCCAGTAAAAACAGCCTCTGAATCCCGAAAAGCTAAACACAAAGTAACAAAAATGATAATTATCGTAGCAGTGCTTTTCTGCATCTGCTGGTTGCCTCACCATCTGGTCATTCTTTGCTTCTGGTTTGGTCATTTTCCCTTCAACAGAGCTACCTATGCTTTCCGCCTGGTTTCACATTGTATGTCCTATGCCAATTCATGTCTCAACCCTATCGTATATGCGCTCATCTCTAAACACTTTCGGAAGAGATTCAAGCAGGTCTTCACTTGTATGCTTACTCAGAAACGAGCACGCAATAAAGTCCATGCGGTACAGGCAGTCAACACAGTAGGTGGCTTTTATGCTGCCCACACTGAGGTGACCCAAGTTCAAGAAGATTGTGGTCGTGCAGGGAGGATTCCAAGAGAGGATGCAGTTGAGAGTGGAAGCCCAGGGGAGCAGTTGAGCAGTAGAACGGGTGGTGGGAATTGGGGAATACGTCTTCCTAAGGCTGAAGGATTTCAAGCACAGACAACATAAGAGAAGCTTCTATCTAGAAATAGTTGGTAAACATTTTGGTAGCAGTAGAAGCACACAAGTAATACTGCCTTACTAAAAATGGTCTTAATGTAGGTACTTCTACAATTTATCTCTGTGACCTTAAACACAAACTTTGTACCTCAAATATAAAAAAAAAACAGATTGTATCTTTTTTGAAACACAGACTGATAATGTTCTCCAAGAAACAAATAGAAGAAAATATTATGGGTGGTAATTTTAAAAGCGTGCATTTATCAGGTCTAAAACATGATCTAAGGGTATACTAATATTTGTTGACAGGCCTTGCTATGCTCTCTTATCATTCTGCCGTTCAACTTAAATTGCTAGAATTTCTACGTTTCTACCTGGTGTTTAAGACCTTGCAATGTATAATGCTGCTAAATATTTCTAATGGCATGTATGTGTTCAAATCAAGTTATATATTCATTTATTACAAAAAAATGCTTTTTTTTGTTGTTGAGAGGAGTACATTTTCCTCCAGAGTCCTGTCTAGAAGGGAAAAATTAGGATGAATTATTATCAATTTGTTCATTAATTATGTTAAATTCCTACACAAGTCGTGTGTAGTGGGGATTTAATTGATACTTAAAGTGTATTTCGTATACTATTTACATTAAATATGTTGATATGAATCAGTGACACATCTTACAGTTTTAACGTAACGATTTTAAAAAAACTTCATACGTGACTCCAAAGCCAACTGATTTGGAATACCATGAATGTCTCACAGTAGGAAAATGTATTTTATTAAGAAAATGTATTTTTTAGGATTTACGTATAAGATATTCAAAATGGTTTCTGCATTTTGAATATAATAATGCAAATATTTTCACATGTAAATTGCAGATCTCATTAATACACAATAAAAATGCACCTGTTACAATAAACCGATAAGCAACCCAAAAGAACAAAATTGAATGCTGCAAGATTGAAATAACTGTTTAGTTATCCTTTAATTTATATATTCTGGTTCTTACTACATACATAATTACTTGCATGGCATGCAACATCTATTATAGCGTCCATGGCAGTCACAATGTCAAGATAAGCCACTATCCTGGGATAGGACACTTTTCTTACTAACAGACTATTATTGATTGTACTGAAAAAATTTTCAAGTCCCATAAACGTATATCTCACCAGCAGTCTAGAGTGTCCTTCAATCTCTCATATTGAACCGTTTGTGGATATCAATAATGTGAAAGAGGCATCTTGTGCATTATGGGTACATATTTCTAACCAATACGATTTATTAATGATGTAAATAAAATTATTTTAAATTACAATGTCTTAATTTTTTTCAGTAGGAGATGGGAATGGTTCAACCCATGCATCTCAGTAATCTATTTCAGAGAAGAACAAACCTATTTCTGTGTTCTGTCACTCTTTTCTAATGAAGTGGAGAGCTTATCCAGAACATCTGTCCATAGGTAATGAAGAAATGAAACATTCGGTATACTGTACGAACTCTGTATCTCCATTGATAAACATAATTGCCAGATGCATCAGAATAAAATTGTAGATAAATGCTTTGCTATATTTGTTCTCTGTTTTATAGAGAACATAAAAATGCCTGCAAGGACAGACTGGTGTTCTGGTGACTATTGTGTCCCTTTATATCCTCCATTATCCTAACCACTGCACGCATTTACACAGTATCATACAGCAAATTGAATGCCATTTGCATTGTGTTGTTTGGAGTCTTGTCTCTGGTGCCCAAGTGGGTTACCAAAGAGTAAAATTTGACAGGGCTGGTGTGTGTGTGCGGAAGGGGTTGTTTTTGGTTAAATGTGTGTGAATGGGTCTGCTTGTGGTGTACTGTGTGTATCTAGAGGCTATAGAATGGGCTTGTAAACATGTATATAGGCTGTAGAGATTGTGCATATGTTGACAGAGGCTGTAGTGTGTGTATCGAGCCTGCAAAGTGTGAGCCTATGAGCGTTGCGGTTGCATTGTGTGTGTGTGTGTGTGTGTATCAAAGAGTTGTATTGTGTATGTAAGTATACAGGGGTTTGGGGAACAGGCATAGACCCTTTATTTCCAGAAATCACATATACTAAGTAACACTAGTTTACTTTTTTTTTTTTAATTCTTTATTTTAATTGTGCATGAAGTAACAACAGGCGTGCAGAGCCACGACAGCCGCTGCAAGCAGTTTCATAGCATTTCAAAGTGTGGCAGGTTAGACAGCACATTTTTTTAATAACAAGAACATAACAGGCTATGAGACATCCGTAGTTTGCAATAAACATGCTAGGCTACATGCGTATATGACAAAATTGCGTTCGCTTAATATTATGGTAAGGTATGGAGCCCTGCAATTTGTAAGAGGGAAGGCGTTTATAAGACAGCCTTGCATCAGTTTAGGTTCTCGTTTAGGTAGATATATTTGACTTTGTAGGTTATGTTGCAATGTGGTTGTGTTGCGCTAGTTTGTGCATTGTTTGTAGGGTAGTAACACATATGTGAGTGCATGTTTGTGGGTGCCATGTGAACTTCGTGTACATAAGGTTACGATATAAAACAAAATTTGAAATAAAACAAAATACGAAATACACATAGAGAGTGTCAAGATAGGTACACCTATGGGTCCCCAGGTAAACAATATGGTCATGCTTTTCTATCAAGTATAACGGTGGCATAAAACAAGGTTATATGAGCATGAAATCAGAGAGACAAGACATAGTAACTGAGTAGCCGTTGGGGTGCACTTCCGCAGCAAATCGATGAAACAGTGAAACGGAGACACCAGGTTGTCGATGCTTTTGCCTATCAGGGTGTAGCTCATCAGTCCCAGCACTGCAGGTATGCCTTGCCTTGGGGGGCCTGCATGGGGATGTTTAGCCGATACCTGCCGATGGCAGACCGGTAGCACCAAGAGGCGTGAGTCTATGTTGGCCTGCGAGCCCGTTTGGTGGGCCTTCCTTTGCCGTCTCCGGTGTCGGAGCCGCCGTTTTGCGGAGTTAGGAGACAGCGTGTCCCTGCTCGTTGATCATTGAGTTGGCCCCTTCTTGTCGCTGGGTCACCTGGTGAGTAGGGGTGATGAGTCTTGGGGGGGGTCTCATATGGGTCTGTGTACCCGAAGGGCATCTGTTCCAGGGTGGGTCCCGCCTGAAAGTGCTGTGCCGTCTATTAGAAGGGGCTTTATGCAGGAGAGAGGGGTGGCGGAGGGGTAGCCCTGTGGTGAATCTCACTTGAGGCCTTGGGCGGCTCCCCAGAGGTCTAGGCTCTGGACGCCGGAGCTGTCGATGGTTCATCCATCTCCCTCTTCCTGCTATCTTGGTCCCTTGCAGGGGTGTTGCTGGCTTCTGCGCAGAGTCCCTTTTGGCTGATGGTGGTGAGACTTTGTCCGGTGTGGCTCTGCGGGTGGAGATCTTGGCCCAGAAGTCATTGAATAAGCTGTCCAGCCACTCAGACAGTGGGGGCAGACAGGGCTCGGATGCTGGGACCCACGTGGCAACCGCTATGCTGCGTGTCGGTGGTCCAGCGGTGCCGGTGAGCTGAGGTTGGTGCCTCCATTCTGAGCTGCATGCTCTAGTTGCCGGGATATCCCTCACCGGCGGGAGGGGGAGGGGGGAGATGGGTTGTTCAGGGGAGACCTCCCGTGAAGGGTGCAGTCGGCTGAGAGATCGGCCGCCTCCCCGTGCCTTCTGAGTAGGCCTCATGTAGGCCTGAGGTCCATCCCCTGGAAGTGGTCGCCTTTTTTGGTCATAGTCTCGGTAGTGCATGTTCCCAATTGTAGCCCCTTATCTCTGGGGGTTGAAAAGCGGGTAACAAGTGGTTTATTGCAGTAGATTTGTCTGTTTTTGGGCTATTTAGCCCAGAGCTCTGCTGAAGTGCGACTGCACAGCTTGGCTGCCTAGTTTCGCCCTCCCTAGAACATTTTTTTATATATACCTTGAAATAACTTTTTAAGAAATATATATATTCCTTGACACTCACACTCAGTGACACACGGTTAATAGAAGAGATCATCGCCCTTCACAAACAAGGAACAGGATACAACAGATAGCAAAGGCACTGAATGTTTTAGAGTTACCATAGATCAAAAGTTCAAAGTTGAAGGAACAGTGATTACACTACCTGGACGGGGCAGAAAAAGGAAGCTATCAATGGCTGCAACCAGATAACTGAGAAGGCAGGTTGTGAAAAACCATTGAGTGACTGCCAAAGACCTGCAGCAAGACTTGGTGGCAACAGGCACTGAGGTTTCACTGAGCACATTAAGGCGCATACTTAACTGAGAAGTATTCCATTTCAGAACTCCACGACGTACACCACCACTGACCCAAAAACACAAGAAAAGTCGGTTCCAAGATGCTCAAAATCAAACAAATATGCCACAGAAGTTTTGGGACTCTGTTCTGTGGAGTGATAAAACAAAACATGAACTTTTTGACCCTATGGTTCAGCGGTATGTTTGGAGGAAGAAGTAAAAAGCATATGCTGAAAAGAACACTATGCCAACAGTTAAGCATGGTGGTGGCTTGTGATGCTCTGTGGCTGCTTTGCATCCTCTGGCACTGGAATCCTGTAGCATGTGGAAGGCAAGATGGATTTATTGAAGTATCAGGAAATCCTCAGAGAAAACATCATGCCATCTGTAAGGAAGCTGGAGCTTCGGTGTCATTGGACCTTCCAACAAAACAATGATCCCAAGCATACCTTAAATTCCACCAAGGCTTGGTTGCAGAAGAAGCCCTGGAAAATTCTACAGTGGCCATTACAGTCACCTGACTTGAACCCCACAGAAAATCTCTAGTGGGATTTGAGCAAGGTGATTGCAACATACAAACCCAATAATACTACTGAACTAGAGGCCATTGCTCATGAGCAATGGGCTAAGATTCTTGAGGAACGGTGCTAGAAACCCGTGTCTGGCTATGCATCTCGTTTGCAGGAGATCATTACAGCAAAAGGGTGCTCTACTAGAGACTTGCCATGAAGTAGTTGAATAATTTTGAGACTGGAGAAGTCATTATAAATTGCATTTTCAGTTGAATTTGGGAAAACAACTTGAAACATTCACTGTGTTGAGCTATTTCAATTTCTTTTGTTTATTTTTGTTCATTGCAAACAGCTGAAACTTTGTAGATTTTGACCATAAGCCTGTTTTCAATGGGGGTTGAATAATTTTGATTACAACTGTATCTAGTTTACATAATTATGTGATTTTATTAATTATATATTTGGGACCTGCTTGACAACCACAAACCAGGCAGACAATCCAGAGAATTAAGTCCCATATTTGACCCTGTAACTTTCCAAAACCCCTTAAAACCCTGTACATTGAGGGTGCTGTTGAACTCGTGAGACATCGCTGAACATTAATAATGTGTGTTTTAGAGCAGTGAAACTTATAAGGACGATGATATCATCAGTGACGGTGCATTTTTTATGTAAAAAAATGCAGAAAAAAATATGGACACTAACTTGGCTAAGTTTTGTGACTAAGGGGCTTCTAAAAACCGCTAGACATACCCAATTTTGAATACCCTGGATTCTCTCCTTTCGCAAATGGCGTGATTTGATGGGGTTAATTTTCATTCCTGTGCTGCCATACAGCCTCAAAGGTAACATAAGCCCAGGAAACCAACCAAGCAAATTTCAATGTGTAAAAACTGAAATGGGCAAGCCCTATACTTGAACCTGTAACTTTCTAAAACACCATAAAACTTGTACGTGAGGGGTATTTATGCACTCATGAGACACTGCTGAACATAAATATGTGTATTTGATAGCAGCAAATGCTAACAGTATTATGACAGTCATAGTTAAAATACAAAATTCAAAATTATATATTGGTAGGCATGGCCTGAAGTTGTTGGAGGGGCTATAGACCTATAAAAGGGACTCCCCCCTTTTCCTACTTAACTTTGTTGGTCAGACGAATAGACTGTTCAAGGTCAGCATTTGCATGAGATCCACTTCCAGGTCATACAAGATGCCATTTTGGTTTCACCTCTGTTCCATGAGGTCTCCTACTCCAAGCTGTGTCCAGGAATCCAGTGGCTTTCTATCCAGTCAGCATCGCATTTGGTGTCTCAGGGACTCTCAAACCGTAAGTTGACCCACCGGTCACGCCAGGATTAGTTCCCACGGCGTTCAGCACAGCACGGGTCCTCACTTTGCGGTTTCCTTTCGTTTTGCACGGTTATTTCGTTACCTTATACTCACCTAGCCAGTCATGTAAAATCTGTTGTTTAAAATTTGTTTTGGTTAAAATCTGTTGGGTTAAAC